AAAGACAGTTCGAAATTGGAGGACTAAAGACCAGTATATATATTTCTGAGGCAAGTTTTTTGACTACGAATCAATGGAATATGTTTGCCAGTTCCATGAAGAGACCCGCTACTGTAAGCCGTGTTTAGTTGACACTCGCCAGCGATCACTGTACTCCTTTCACCTGGGCTGCAACCTCAAACATATATTGAGACCCATACGATATACAATTAACGGCAGCCCACATTGGAGGCGCCTTTCACCGGCAGCAGTAGGAGCTGCAGCTTCCACGCTGTGCACATAATGAAAGTCCTACGCGATTTGCATGCTGGAGAGAGAAAGAGAGAGAGAGATAGGGCGAGAGGGAGAGGGAGAGAGTTGGGACAACGCTTTGGGAGATATGCAAATCTCTCGTCCCACTGCCAGTTGCACGTACAAATGTCGGACATTTTATAGACTTATCACGCGACAGAGACACAGAGAGCGAGAGCCATAAATTTAAGCGATATGCTGCATGCCCCCAAATGCCGCCCACTCACAAGGCACTCGCAACAAAGTCGGAGACTGAAAGAGTTGGCAGCAACAGCAGACGGAGTCCAGACTGGAGCCATCGTCACGAGTGCCAGCAATTAATTTTCATACGCAGACGCAGCTGCGCTGCAGCAGTTGCAAGCTACAGCCGGCTACTGCCTTGCTGTACTTGCTGTTGCAACTTGTAAAGCTCCAAGCAACAGCAGCAATAACAACAAATTGAGCATCGATGTGGCGACTTGTGGCGTTCTAGGAAAATAAATTTAAATAAACGCAGATTCTGTGGCCACTGCCACGTAGACCCACATCCCCCAATCCCCCCTGCCCGTTTTCCCTTGCCACAACCCTTGGTAACTGCTATCTACCACCAAACTGGGAATCGAACATGCAAATTTACACTTAAACAAGTAAGTTGAGTTGCCAGCGTAGCAACGAAGATTGAATACCCTTTCATTCAAATTAAGTCAACTTTGAGATACACAAATTAATATAAAATATATTCCAATAAACAGAAAGTTGTGGCAGCAAAGTCGGAAATATCTCCTTCAAGGCTTTACCACATCGCATAACCAAACTTGAATACCCAGCAGTAGGGACTTAACAATCAGAGCAACGCTGAGAGGATGAAGGATAGAAAACCCTTTGGTCTGTCAGTGTTTGCAGTTGCCGCCACGCAAGTGTTTTAACAATGTTTGCAAGGCGCATTACGTGATTTGGCCACCGCCTACTGCAAATGCACAGCACCCTCGCAACCGTCGCACCCCTCTCCTCTTACCACCCTCAGTGGCGTGTTTGCAACATGTTGAAATTTAAATAAAATGCACTGAGGGAGCAGCAGCAGCAGGAGCAGCAGCCAGGACAACCCGCCTCAGAGTCAAGCCGCACTTTAAATGCCCCACAACGAAATGTTGGCTTCAGACTGAGCCAAAGCGGTTGGCCAAGTGCTTAAGCCACAAAATGAACAAGTTCGATTTCTTGGCTTCTCCCTTTGTCTTGGCCTTTTTGGCTGTGCCACTCCACTCGCATTATTGTCGCCGCAAACACTTTGCGTCGATAACATGGACTGAGGCGGATTTCGAGGATTCAAGCTCTGGAAGGTGACTTTTACAGGGTTTGTTGACAGTGTCGCTATCTTTGCGTTAAATTAGCGCCTGCATCTTCATTTGGCCAACCCACTGCATTGGTCCGCAGTGAAGGATTGCCTTAGCTCTACCTTCTCGATCCGCTCCTGCTACAATTTCTCTGCTGAGTCAGTCATTAGAATCTGCAGCTGCATTTGCACTGGCGGCTTGAATCCAATTATGCGCATTTGACCAATGCCCAAGGCCAACACACACCAACACACACACACACACACCAACACACACACACACACACACAGAGCGAGCAACTCTGGCTGATCTGCAATTTGGCCTGGCTAGCAAACAACTTGGCCAAAAGCCGCTGGCCAGCATTGTCCACTCTGTGTGCACTTTTGCTTTATTATAGCAATGCTTATACAGATTAGAATAAATCAACTTGCCCCCACCTTCTCTCTGTCTCTCTCTCTCTCTCTTTCTCCCCCTCTCTCTGTCGCTCTGTGCGATCAGTAAACGCTACCGGCAACAATCTACAAAAACTGCAATTGGAGCTGGAGTCGAGGCAGCTGCACGCTGCACATTGGACTCTGAACACTGGTCACTGGTCACTGGACACTGGACACTAGACTCTCCACACTCCACACGCCTAGTTGTTGTGGGCCCACTATTAAGTGCAAAGGAAGTCGGCCAAGATAAGCAGGCAAATATCTGCGGCTAAAAGGAATCAAACAACAACTCGCCAACGGCGAAAACAGATCGCAAACTGCAAATGGCAAAGTCTTGAAGAGTTGGGCCAAGTCGAAGAGCAGCTGCTCGCAGTGGAACTGAGCACAATATAAAATTGAGAAGCATATATAAATATGCATCATAGATAAATGCTTAATCAATTCTTTTCTTAATTATATTTAAGTAATGTTAAAACACAAATAACATTTTTACATCCATTCATTTATTTATATACTTTTATTTCAGAGAGAAATTTAGAGTACTTTTGACAAAGTTATATTCACAATGATAATGATAAATGTTCTTAGAACTGCAATTTGATTCAGTTTGATAATGTTAAGGGATTTGGATGCCTTTAAGGTATATTTCGAGTGATTTCAGAACCATTTATTACTAAAATCGATACATATTTTGATCTACTTTTAGGTAAGTTGTAAGTTGATCTGTCGCAGTTGCTCAATCAAGATTCGTGGCTGATGCGATAGATACAAGTGCAATTGCAGTGCCATAAATCTGCACAAGTGTTTGTATTATTCGCAAACAGTTGTTGCAACAATATTGAGTTGAGGGTTTCGTATGTGGCTGTGGCTGTGGCAGTGGCTGCTTCCCATTCTCATGACTACATGGAGTTCAACACTTGCCCGATTCGCCGACAGTTTTGCGACCCGGCGAGCTTACAAATTAAACGCATTCAAGTGCAAGATGCAGGAATTTTGATTGGGTCAACAAAGTCAAAGCGATGCTGCTGCTGCTGCTGCTGCTGCAACAACGATGACGACGACGAAGACGACGACGGCGTCGGTAGCACAAAAATGCCATAACAAAATGTGTCAAGTGCCAGACATAAATGCCTAAGTAACGGCGCAGCCAGCCAAAGGAGTTGTGAGTTCGTTCCGAAGCCCAGCAAACCCCAGCGATCGTTGCCACCAACTGCTGCTCCCCAAACTTCCTCCTTCTGCGCCTGCTCCTGCTGCTGCTGCTCCAGCTCCTTCTTGCGTTACGATTCTGCGGCCTGCGGCCTTTTTGCTGTTTGCACTGGCGATTCGACAAGCAACTCGCCGATCGGCTTCGCTTCTCGCCAAGAGACAATAAATTTTCGGTGCGTCACTTTTTTCCTGCTGCTGCTGCTCCTCTACTGCTCCTCTGCTGCTCCTCTGCTGCTGCTGTTGTTGTTGCTCATTTCTTTCTCCTTTTTTTAATTTGTTCTTCTTGCTGTGTTTTGTGTGCGCTTTCCAATTAAAAATGCGCACGGTTATCGACGCAATTGGAGTTGCTTGTGCCCGCTTGTACTTATTTGTAAGTTGCACGCATGCTCCAAAGAATGCCACTGCCACTGCCACTGCTGTTTCTGCCGCTGAAGATGGGCTCCTTCTTCTCGCTGTTAATTTACATAAAAATATCTTAATTGCAATGCTGCCTTCTTTTTTTGTTCTCTGAGCTTATCAACGCCATGTCATGTCGCCGACGCCTGCTGATGCCGATGCTGTTGCTGATGTCCTTTGTGTCCAGCGTTGCCCACTGACAAATTTTTGGTCGGTGGCGGCACGTCAAGATCGTGTATCGCCAATTGGCGAATCTCTCAACTTTGCACATCCACCCTGGTAGCTGGCGTTGGTCTGCTGCAAGCTGGCAGGCGTACACATGTTGTGCGACACTTGCAACGCCTGCACCGCCTGCACCTCCTCCTACTCCTCCCCCCTGCTGCCTGCTGCCTGCTGCTTGTTGCTTGTTGCTGTCATGCATAATCGCTGATAAATGCGCCCTTCAGTGCCGACTAAAATGATTTGTGGATAATTAATGCAGAACCAAAAAGACAACAAAAAATTCAAAATAAAATAAAAATAAAATAAAACCAGTTAGCCGCGCGCGCACTTTTAGCTCAAAAGAACTACAATTTGTGCAAGTTTGTTGTTGCTGCTGTTGTTATTCTTGTTGTTGTTGTTGTTGTTGTTGCACAATCAGGCCTTAAACGCAATCAACGCACAGTAATTCATGGCTGCAGCTCACAAGTTGACAGGACCAGAAGACGCAAGACCCCAAAAAAAAACAAGAACGAGAACCACAAAAAAAGATTAGCTGCCAGCTAATTGCAGGGGCGTCCAAAGAGGAGCCAAAAGGAGCAGGGTGTGTGCATGTGTGTGTGTGTGTGTGGTGTGTGTGGTGTGTGTGTGTGTGGTGTGTGTCTGTGTGTGTGTGTGTGTGCAGGAGGAATCGCACAAGCACACAATTAATGAATGCTGCTTTCTAGCTGTTTAAGATTTGCTGGAATATGCCAGTGCTGGTAAGTGCACCAATGTGCGCTGATATTGCACAGCACTCTCAGAATAATGCTCATCGAAAGCGTTAATCAACGATCTCTATGGCAGGAAGAAAGTGCGAGCCAATAAAAGTTAATTGAGTTTAAAGGGAACTAAAATTCCAACGATTAAACAGAGAAGATCCTGTTAACATTGCTGCAAATTCTTAACAGTCAACCGCACAATGCTAATCTATGTTTTCTGTTAATCTATGCGCTCGGGGAAGCCGAGAGTGAGCTGCCTGCAAAGTTTACTGAGTAAGCAGATTTCAATTAAAAACCGTTCTGAAAATAACAGTAATCAACAACGCACCGATTGACAGCGATTGTTGTGACACCTGATGGTATTGATCAACACTGCCTTGTCAATTGGCATATTTTCGCAAGAAACTTTCCTTTGGAATAAGCATTTTCGGAGCACTTCTTCGCAACATGAACGTTGACCTGGCTAAAAAGGAGCTTGAGCTAATGCCCGACATTATCAAATCGGACGCAAATAATTGGCATCAAAATGTGCAACTGGGCAGCGAGCAAGTTAAGCTCTATATCGAGTTGTGCATGAAAATCTTTGCGGAGGAGCCCATTTTGTATAATGAGGAAACATGTCGCGGCAAGCGATCGGCAACGCAGCGAACTCGGGCCCACTTTTACAAGCTGTTTGAGGTCACCAGCAAAATGGAGCAGATTCTTGCGGTGCTGGCCGATATCACGCTGAGAACAGAGCACATGTGGCAACGCGTCTCCATGTGGAACCAGGATGAAATCATTCAACAGCATTGCATCATGTGGGAAATGACTACGCCCAAACTGTTGGACTATCTGGGATTCTTCACTCAGCGCTACGACTACGAATGGCAGCTCAAAGAGATGGTCGTGTGTAAGTATCACAAAATCAGCAAAAGCTGACCAGCAAACAACGCACACTCAACTAATCGCATCCAACTCTTTCTCCAGCGGATCTGGAATACATTGATAGCAGCTACGCTGGCTATATTGTATTGGAGACCTGGCTGAATAATCGACATGCTGGCGACGATGAGTTCAATCGCCAGCTAAATGCCTTCTATAGGTCAACAGGTCAGCGTGCCTGTAGCCCCCAATGACAAATGCGTTCAGCCTGCCTTGCTCAACCTGAGACTTAACAAAAGCTGACCTTTCTGATTTTATGTTGCTTATATTTTAAAAGTATCTATTATCATTTTATTACAACTGATTTGAAATGTTAAAAAGTTGAATGAAATTACACGAAATTATGTGACAAGCAGCAGATAGCAGCTCTGTTCCCATAACGGATAAATATTCTTGATCAGGATCAATAACCCAGTTAATCTTAAAGACTATACAAGTTGAAGACTTTACATTTCGAATATAGGTTCTCGAAAACCATACGCAGATCGGAGAAGATATATCTTTCTGGTCGAAAATGTATGTGCATATTGAAATGCGTTTAATCAAATCTACATCTAATGAACCAAACGTACGGAGGAATCATGCCACGCCACATTAGTTCCTGTAACTACATAGGCTGTTATTGATCTTAACTCAAAACATTGTCCGCACAAAGGTCTGTATTCTCTTACTTATCTAAAATATAAATTGGTTAAGTCAGCTAAATTGTCAGGCTGCATTCGCTTTTGAGTTTTCAATTATTCTGCTGCATACTTTCAGGCACATTTGGAAATGCAATGAGAATTGTGAAATTGTGTAGCATACCTGTGTGCAGCACCCAAAGCTACAATCTCACTAACTATTATGCAGCATACTTTTGGGCTTTCTATAAATTGTTTGAAGGTTAAAATTCCATCGAATATACGTTGTGATAAATATTTGAGAAAACAAAAGGAGATATATGCACATATTCATATACTTTTAAATTACACCCGGTACTTACATAAACGCTTTGCTGCCTGTTGAAAGAACAACTAAGCCCGACCACAGCAGTTGAGAGCGCATGACATTTGTTCATTTGCGTTGATTATCGGTTGTCCCATTGCCCGTTTCAGCGCCATCTAGATGTGGAAACTGCTGCCGGCACTACAAACTGCCTGGCAACGGTTCTATAAAAAAAACACAATAGTTTCATTGAATTGTTTTTCTTTTGTTTTTATTTTTATTGGAAAAATGTGTTTTTTTTAGTTTTTGTTTTGTTTTTTGATTTTTTTTTATATTTGCCTGCTCGCCAAAATCCATTTATAATTATAAAGAATTTGCAAAAAATGTTTTGGTTTCGCTTTCATGTTTTTTGTTTTGTTTTTTATTTTTACTTTTATTCTTCATCTTTGCTTTAAATTTTGTTTGTTTGCATTTCGAGTTTGCACATTTAAAAATTTGACTTTTTACTATTTTTGAATCTCTCTTGGTAGCAAAAACAAAACTTAATTGTAATTTTTCTACAACAACATTTTGTGTTTATTTTTGTTTTTTTTTTTTGCCCATTATATAATAATATATATGCAATTCTGTAGCTAGATTTCGACATACATTTTCCAATGCTCCGCCATCTGCCTCACCTTATCATCGTCTAATTATGTATGTAATTATGTATGTATATGTATGTATATATATGGCGACTTGCACACGCGCCCATTTGTTTTATAAACAAATGCAATTGAGTTTTCTTTGCTTTCACTTTCACTTTCTCTTTGATCTTTTTCCTATGTTTTTGTTTTTGTTTTGCCGCCTAGGTATAAATTTTTGTCATTATGAATTTGGCCTACGTACACACACACACACACATACATACATACATACATACACATTTCTATGTGTGTGTGTGTGTGTCTGCATATGCATGTATTAGTGCTGTTGACTCGACTCGTAAAAATAACTTCAACCTAACCTTAACAAATTTAACTTAGTAATTGCATACTTTTAGGCTAGGGGCTAGGCTAGTAAATGGTTTTCTCCGCTAACTTCATCTTCATCTTGATCATCCGCTTAATGCACTTATGTATGTGATTTTTGCATTTTTTTCAATTTTCATTAAATTTATCGCAAAAATGTTAATCTCAAGCCTTGCAAATTGTTCACTTAACTATTTTACAATATCTTTGTTTTTTTGTTTTTCTTTTTCTTACATGTGTGTTGTATAACGTTTTTTATTTGTTTGTTATTCGCAATTGCATCTATTTCGCATTTTGTTGATTTCATTTGTTTTTCTTTTTGTTTTTTTTCCTTAAAAAATTGTTTAACTCGTAAATTGAGTTGGTTTTAAAAAATCTGTTCCCTCCATTTTGGTTTTAATTCATTTTTTGTTATTTATGAATGCTTGTTGTCAATTGTTGCGTTATATGTTTCGTTTTCATTTTCTCTTCTGTTCTGCTCTGCGTGTAAGTGTATATGTATATGTGTGTGTGTGTGTGCATTACAATTAAAATTTATTGCTATATGTATATATGTATATATTTTTGCTCTTTCATTCTTGCTCTTCATTGGCGCTAAGAGAAATGCAGCAAAGAAACTGAGAGAGAGAGCGAGAGATTTGAACTGAAACCCTTAGCTAGGAAATGTTTTTATTTTGTTTTTCTCTTACGTGAATCGTTCTCTTCTCATCTGATTTATTTGCTACATTTTGTGAATAAACGAAGAAAACTTGATTAGATTGCAAGCATATTTTATATACAGCGTGTGCTATTTTAGAGATATGAATGATCTGCTATAAAAAATAAAAACTGCCACAGAAAAAAGAAAACTGGACAAGAAATAATTGCAAATAATTGTTTTGTATTTATTACACAAAAAAAAATAGAATACTAAATGAAAAACCAAACTACTTAAAAGTTATGCGTGTGTGTGTGTGTGTGTATGTGTGAGTGGTTTATAATTACTAGAAAACGTCTTTGTAAATGTAGATTTTTTGTTGTTTCGCTTTGTTTGTTGTTTGATAAATTATGCTAATTAAAATACACAGGTAAAAATAATTTCATTGTTTAATAATTGTTATTTGTTTTGTTTCATTTTTAGTTTAATGCAAACTTAAGCCTAGCGAAAATCTTTATTTAACGTGCACAAATCAATTTGTTTGTTTGTTTTTTGTTGTTGGTGTTTTGTTTTGTTGTTTTTGTTTGTTTGTTTGTGTTGTAGAAAGCTTTCCTTTAATAACCACATTATGTTAATTTGTACACATTTCTCTTTTAAGTAATTCATTATTAAACAATTGGCTATGTGAGTGTTTTGTGGATGCAGGTGTGTGTGTGTGTGTGTATTAGGGTGTATGTGTGGGTGTGTGTGTGCGAAGTACAAAAGTTGCCACAATTCACGAATACGACAACAAAACACAGTTGCATATATATATACATATATATAAGCATTCCCTAACGCTCAAAACTACTTACTGACTGAATTTCCCTTATGCCATATATAACTCCCTATTTACTGTCCCCCCCTTCTGCTCAACATCTGCGCTTTGCGTCCAGATATATATGTATATCTCGATATATATATATATATATATATATATATATATATAATTGTTATATATGCATGTACAGTATACCGTTTTCTTTTGTATATGTGTGTGTGTTTAAATGTGTGTTTTTTGTGTGAGTTTTCGCTTTAAACATTAAATTGATTTTTTATAATAATTTAAACTAATTCTCGCTTTGCACAAAAAATTTACACAATTTATTAATTTAATTTAGATATAATTTAATTAGGGTTTTTTGTTTTTGTTTTTTTTTTTGTTGTTGCTGCTGTTTGTGAGCTACTCATTTGTTAATTGTATAATTATACGTTTCGCTTGTTGTATTTTTGTTAGAATTATTGTTGTTGTTGTTCTTACTGCTTACGGCAAATTGGTTGTAAATATGTACAAACTTTTTTTACTTACAAACTAAATATGTTTTTGTTTTTGAAATCTTGCGTATTGTATATGATCTATGTATATAATATATATAAATATGCCCCTATGTGTGGTTTGTTTTTTCTTTTGTTTTGTTTTTGTTTTTCCTTTTTGTATATGTATAAATATTAAACACTAAAACGAACGCCAGCCTATAAAACAATTCTTGCACTATACAATTCTCAATTAATAAATAGTAATGCTGTTTGCTACTCAAGACTTCTTATCGGTAATCAGTATATCGCTATCGATCTCCTTCCGGTTAATCAGCTTAATCGGTTAACGGTTATCGGTCATCGCTCATTACTCATCGCTTGCTCATCATCATCTGCATCTATATCTTTATCTTCATCTTCATCTTCATCTTCTTTTTCATCATGTTCGCACTCTGTTAAGGCTGTAAGGCTGTTGCTGTTATTACAAGGCTACACGGTTAACACTAACTGTGCGTTGTTTTTAGACATGTTACAACATGTTAACATTATGTTAACAATGTTTCTGTTGTTGTTGTTTCTGTTACTTAGTTCTTTCTTTCTTTTTTGGACTGTTAACTTAAGTTGTTGCATTGCTGATTTTGTTAGTTGCTTGGTGTTGCATTCAGTTAAGTGTGTATTTTGTTTTTGTTTTGTTGTTGTTCTGAGTTTCATTTGGTATAGCACTTGTGTGGAAATCCTACGCTATTTTATGAGAGAGTACACAGCAAAAGAAAGCATGCATCACTTTTACTGTAACTTGTTTACTTTTACTATTGCTGTTAACGAGAGATGTAATGTAAATGTAAATGTTAATGTTTATGTTACTGTTACTGGTAGTGTTCCTGCTGCTGTTAAGTTGATTCATTTTCTTCGAGTTGATTGATGGTGATGGATAACGAGACTGCTAACTGTTTATGCTATAGCCGCTGTCAGATAGTACAGATCCATGAGGGTCTGCACGTTGATGGGCAGACAGGAGAGCCGATCGTGCGTATTGGAGTCGAGGGCCAGCCATGATAATGCATTATATCCCTCGAGCACGAATCGCAGGACATCGGCTGTTAGCGTCGAGTCCAGCGGATGATCGTTGGCCGACTGATGGGCATTGGTCGAGTTGAGTATATCGTCGGCTATCTGTATATTCGGTACATGCAAATGCAGGGCGGTCTTCAGGAAGACGGGACACACATCCTCCAAGTGCGGACAGGCGGACCAGAACCATGCCGGCATCCGGCCCGTTGGCGCTGTGGAGACCATATAACCCACCGATATGGGCTGCTGATTGAGTGAGCCCACCTGCAAAAATCAAATTAAACATTCAATTTAGTTAATCGATAATTGAGTATTAGTTATAGGTGCTCACCTCTTCCACTTCCTGCGGTGGCGTGCATTTAAAATTGTTGCCGCCGGCACTTTGCCAACTGCGATTGTCCTCCAAACGGCCAGGGCTGCCATGAGTCGGCGAGGGTTCCATGTGAGCAGCTGTGCAGCAATAGAGATAGTCCGTCAGATAAGGTATTAAGAATAGTATGGATTGTAATACTCACAGTCCCAGAAGAGATCGCCAATGTCCGCATCGCTGAAGTCCTCGTTGCCCTCCTCCTCGCCAAAGATGAAGTCATCATCCACCTGCGGCTCGTTTTGGAACTGGCGTGTAAAGGACTGCAACAAATAGGAAAGGAAATGAGTAAAATGTCAATTTCCGAAATCGATCGTTTACCGATATTAACCGGATTCGATAATAAGACTTACCGCACAGACGGCACTGGTGGGAAAGACGAGTATGTGTGTGCATGTCACATCTTGTGGCGTTGACAATGGATTCTGCATAGAGATCTGCGAGAAGCGCTCATCCGGCGTAAACTGATCGGGCATCACTCGAAGCTTGGCATCCGGCTCGAGGGTGACCAGGCAGGCACTGAGTATGGTCGGCGGATACATGAGGGTGCACTGTTTGCACATGTCCTTGAACTGCTTGGAGGCCTTCTGCAGCTGCTGCTTGCTCAGCAAATAGCTCCACGACTTCAGTTCACTGTGGCCAATGCGACCAATCCGTCCAATGACCAGTCGCCACATTTGCGACGTCTGCGAAATGAGACCCATGACAAAGTCCATCAGCTTGCGCAGCGCCACATAGCGAGCGGGTGCCTTGCGTCGTCGCGCCCGATTCGGCACATCGATATTAATGCAGACCTTCTCGAGCAGCTCGCCCCGCTCATCGGTGGCGGTGGCCAGCAACCACGACTGATCCTCGCTCAGGCAATAATTGCAATACATCACCGAGTAACGTGTCTCGTTCTGGCCATGCATGCTGCCCGCGGCACGCGAGAAATCCGTCTTGTCGTTGCGCTCGTGCATCGGCGCCAGCACAAAGGGAGCTGTGTACATTTTGTAGGCCCGCCGATTAGGCTCATCCTTGGTCTTGAGGAAGGCTTCCATGTTGGCGGCGGTGCCGAAACCGGTTAGACTCTTCACGGGCTGTGCGTGCACCAGGTGCCGGCGACACTGTGAGAATATGTTGAGAGCCAGACACTTGATTTCGTCCGAGAAGCGTCGTCGATTGCCACACGGTCCCAGCTCCATAATAGATTCCAATGAGATAATCTGTATGTTCATCTGGGCACGCACCGAATCCGGCACAGCTTTCAGCAGCTCCGCATAGCAACGAAGCAGGGCAATCAAAGCGAGCCGTTCCAGCTCAAAGCTGTCCGAGGCAAAAGTAAAGGGATTCACCACATACAGCACAATCGCTGATGGGTTAATGTCCTCCAATGTTTCGCCCATGCCCAGTGGATCTCCCAGGACAAGTGCTGGCTTGGTATCGGCACCAGTACCAGCTGCACCCGGTTTGACATCCGCTTTGCTATCCGGCTGTTCCTGCGAAGTTGCTGACTGCGATGTTTCCGTGCCCGGTTCCTGCTTGATAATCGGCTCAATGTGATGCTCTGCGGCTACGGCTCCCGTTGGTAGTGCCTGTCCAGCGGTCGCTCCTTGATTTTTACTCGAGTGACTGCCGCTGGGATCGGGTGGATTGAGCAGCGTCTTGTCGCCGGGCACACGACTCAAATACGGCGCCAGCTGATAGAGAAAGGCAATCGCATATCGCCGGATCTGTTCCGCCAGTGGTGCATGATCCAAGGTGCGCAACCAATCATCGAGTGGAGTGACTGCATCCCGTTCTCGTTCGGCGCCCACCTGAAGCACACCGTCCCAGCCACGGATCGGCGTATGCTTGCCCAGTTTGCACATCTCGTAGGTGCTGCTCAGCTCCCGGAAATAGGTACGCGTACTCGCCGCCACATGCTCATTATCCGGACAGATTACCACATAGACCACATCCCGCGCATACGAATACGGTTCGAGCAGAAACTTATCCCAATAGTGGATGGAATGTGGCGCCACCGATATCCAATCCTTCTCATAGCCAACCACAACCGATGGTATGGGCTGAGGTTCACACTGGCCCGAGGCGCGTCCAGCGAGTCGATGGAATTGTCGCCAGGTGAGTGGGCCACTCACCGTATTGTAGGAGCTGGCATCCTTGGAGCCGGCGGCGCCACCACGCGACTTGCAGTGGAAGGCACTTTGGAGCATCGGCTGGATGGCGTTCATGGTGCGCACAATTTCCTTGTTGCTGCGCGTGAAACCCACTGGAAGATATGGCCACTTGTGGACCGTCAGACGACTGCTGCCCAACGTGAGCAGCTTCTGGCGCAGAGCAGGCGCCGCTTGGAATGCCGTCAATTGTTGTTGCTGGTGGAGATTATGTTGCTGTTGCTGCTGCTGATGCTGTTGTCCATGATGGTGCCCTTGGCCATGCCCGTGTCCGTGTCCATGTCCAAACTCGAGCATATTCATGTCCATGCGTTGACTTTCGAAGGCGAGGCGAGCCTGTTCCAGCGCCAGGCTGATCACATCGTGCGCATCCGTAAATTCCAGCACATTAGCAATGGACGCCATCGATGCGCACGGGAACCCACTGTTCCCAAAGAGTCGTCGATTGCGGGACATTCGACGACGATGCGATTGCAGCGCACGATGCACCGAACTGCTCGACGTTTGAATGATGGAGCACTGATCCAGCAACAGATCGAAGATGGCATGAGCCAGTTGCTCCAACTGTTGACCCGTCGTCGTCCCAGTCGTAGTCGTCCCGCTCGTCGTTGTTAGCTTCTCCAGTTCTTTACCGGATTCACCGCCAGCAGCGGGCTTAATGTTGCCACTGCTGCCCTTGCGGCACAGACTCTGAATAAGGCTGAGCAGCGTGGGTTGTTTATTGCGCGCCGGATCATCCACAATGCCGGTGATCTCCAGCTCATCCTCGTAGAAGAGGCCGGCACGATGCGAAAGGCGACGATTGACGACGGCGCTGAAGCCACAAGTGCATTCCACGGGATCATCATCCACATAGCCGGTGATGTGCGGATTACTGCTGGGCGGTGTGCACGACGAGGAGCTGGAGCCACCATTCGGACCATGGCCAGGATGATGAGAGGAGTGCTGATGATGTTGCTGTTGCTGCTGATGATGATGTTGTTGGTGATGATGATGCTGCTGCTGCTGATGATGATGATGATGCCCGGAGCCAGCTCCGGACGATGGACCACCACCAACACCACCCGCACCACCTGCACCGGCCAACAACGGTGAGTCCTGCCCAACGCTAAAGGCACTAATCATCCGCATATTCCCGCTGCCAGTGCTGCTGTTCCATTGGCCCGCACTGGATGTTGCCATTGCTAGACGATGCGTGGGAAAGGGATTAAAGCTGCTGCCGGGCAGTGGCACATAGACGCCAGAGTCGGCGCCGCGTATGTTGCCAATCTTTTGAGTATCCGCATTGCAAACGCAAACGCTGCTGCTGTCAAAATTGTGATCCCGGAACACATTCAACGCCGTATCGTAAAGGAGTATGTTGACCAGCACCGAGTTCACCTCCGGCAACTCTTGCAGCAGTCCAATTGCACCAGCTGCTGCTGCAGTGGCAGCGGCCACGTGACCCAAACCCGTTGAGTTTGCACCACCAGCACCACTTGCACCATATTGCATCATGGCCAGCTTGGAGCCATCGCCGCCTGGCATGGCCAGACCAGAACCAGGTCCTCCTCCACCTCCGCCCGGCATCTGATTGTACACATTATGGTGATGGATGCCTTGCGGCGTGTGCGGATGTCCTGGCGGATGACCCGGCGAATTGTACTGCTTGTTGAGGTACGACGACGTTGTCGATGTGGATGTGGCCGGACTCGCTGCGGCCAGCTCATATGGATATGGTGGCGGCGGATGTGTGGGCGTCTGTCGCATCGTGCCAAGATGCATTGGACTGCTGCGCGGAAAGGGCACAACAACGCCACCCTGAACCGGCGAAGGTATCGGTGAAATGCCAGTACGCTGCATCAATTGTTGCATAGAGCTACCAGGTGGCGCCTGTGGACAGTTCAGTTGATTGAGCAGCAGCTGGCTGCCACCGCTGCTCAACGGTTGTGGCACACTCGACGGCGAAGGCATTGCGCCGCTGCCACTCGTCATTGGTGTCCTTGGTCCCGCTGAGAGCAGCTCGTGCAGCTGTTGATGTTTCTGATGCGAATGTTGTTGTTGCTGCTGCTGTTGCTGCTGCTGTTGCTGCTGCTGTTGATGTTGCTGTTGGAGTTGCTGATGTTGTTGGATGCGTTGCTGCAACTGCTGGTGCTTCTGATGCTGCTGCTGTTGCTGCTGTGCAGCAGCCGCCTTGGCCAGCGTTGCGGCACGAGACTTTTGACTGTGACTCCAGGTGGGATTGTAGAAACAATTGGCGGGCATCTGCAGCGGTGGCTGCATCTGGCTGGGCAGATTCGTTAACGGCGCATAGCGTGAGGAGCCCACAAATTTCTCCTGTTGCGGCGGCCGATACACATAGCTCCAATCATCGATGGGCTCCTCCAGCGGGCTGCCCAACTCCACACTGTACTCCTGCTTGACCATCTTGAGCACAACACCCAAAGCACCAACAGTTGCTGCTGCTGTTGTTGTCGTCGTTGTGGTATCGATGCTCAGATCTGTCATTACCACATCCGTTTGGCAGGGACTGGAATTTGGATGTTGCTGCTCGTGCGACGGGGGTGTTGGAAACATTTTGGTTAGATCCTCCGCTTGAATGCTGCCGGCGCCGGAGCTGGCAACGACAGCAGCGACAACGGCACTGGCCACCGCTGTGCTCCGCTTGAGCTCGTCGATGGTGTTGGTGACGGTGCTGCAGCCCCCGTTCGAGGGATTATTGGAATCGGGCGGTGTGTGAATCTGGGCACTGCTACACTCATCATTCGAGCTCGTCTCGAACAGCTGCTCCAGATCGTTGAGCGACGGATTGAGGCCCTCGGCGGTGAACAGATTGTTGCCACTGCCACTGCCGGCGGTGCTCGTCGACTTGGATTCCTTGCACGGTGAATGCAGACCGGGTTCCGTTTTAATATCCAAACCCTGAAAGAAGGAGGAGGCACCACCTGCACCACCAGCACCGCCACCAATTGCATTGTCTGCCTCATCGGCGCTGTTGGCGGCAAAGGGATTGCTGGCAATGCCCACCAGTCCAACACCACCGCCAGCAGCCCCCGCCTCGCCAGCAGCTGCAGTTGCTCCACCTAAGCTGGCGGCGCCATTTCCATTGTCAATGGACAGCAGGGAACCATAGACGGAGCCAGGCGATGGCATCAGTGGCTTAAAGTGGGTGTGGCCCTCGTAGATGTTTTTGGAGTAACGCGGTCTTCGCTGTTTGGCGGATTCATGCAGCTTGGGTCGCTTCACAGGCAGATCGTCCCTGTGCAATGGAATGGAGCAGGATTAGTTGCAGCTCGGATTGGATTAGATATATCAGTGACTTACCAGTCCTGTTGAAAACTAAAATCGTAAATCTCCTTGAGCCACTCCTCGTCGTAGACATTGTCGCCATCCTTCAGCGTCAGCTGCGGCGGCTTGTACAGATTGAAGAGATTGGTGACGGCCTCCATAGCGCTAGTTGCACCAACTGCTTGCTGTTGCTGTTGTTGCTGCTGCAACATGCTGCGTCCTGCTGTACCTGGCTCCTGTTTGATGATGCTGGCGACTTGCGCTGGTGTTGCCGGATTTTGTTGTTGCATTTCGAGCTTCTTTACGCTGATCGTGCCACATTGCGTGGCGGAGCCTCCGCCTCCTCCTACTGCAGCGGACGCAGCAGCTGCCGCAGTTGTTCCTGCTCCTGCTGCTGTGCCTGTTGCTGTGCCTGTTGCTGTGGCTGGTGTGGGCGTGGCAGGCTGTTGTTGTGGCACACTGCCCGGCTGTGTGGTGCCACCACCATGCTCCGTTGCCGACGTTGCATACGTGGGTGGCTCAACGCTGGGCGTTTGATGCACATACGGCGATGCCGTAATGCTTTTGCTATCATGCTGATCCGTTGGCGTCGGCGCCGGCGTATTCTTGTCCAGCAGATGATCAATCGGCGTCGGCGGCTGTTGCAGATTCGAAACGGATGTGGGCGCATCATGTGGGCTCATATTGAGTAGCTAAGAAGACAATTTATATTAGTAAAATAGTATCACAATCAGTGTTGCAACATGCATCACTTGCTGGCACTCACTTGGTCAGCGGGCGGCGGCACCGAGGTCGGTTGCGAGTTCGCCGAATTCGGATGCGGGTGTGGTGAAGGTGCCGGTGTTGCTGGTGAGCCCACCGAGGATGCACCAAGCACCGCTGCCGAGTCCAAGCCGAGCGAGTTGCGTGCGTACGTCGAAGGAGCTCCCACCTGGTGACACGGTGTTCCACTGCTGCCCGTCGTCGTCGTCGCCGCCGCCGTCGTCGTCGTCGAGGAGGAGTTGGTGGCCAGATGTCTGTGTGAATGAAATTTGGTTTGTTGTTGTTTTTCATTAGTTATATTTATGAAAATTTTATATATTATTTGTCGCGACATGCTTTTGTTGTTGTTGTTGTTGTTGTGGGTTATATACAATCAATAATAATTCAAACAACTACGGATTATGTGTGCGAATAGCTAAAAATATATATAAACAACGGTCGCAATGCACAATATATAGATATATAGATTTATATGTAGTATATATAAATGCTTGTATTCTTAATAGTTAATCGATAAATCATAAACGAGAAATGTAGAAGCAAAAAATAAAACCACATCCAAAGAGAGAGTAACAGAGAGAGAGAGCGAGCGAGCGAGCGAAAAACCGCAAAAAAGGAATACAAAAAAACAATATCAAAGTGTTTCAAAAAACAATAACAAAAGAACCGTTGCAGCAGCCAAAACAATATATATGTATATGATTATTTACAGCCATAGCATAGGTGTGTGTGTGTGTGTGTATGCGTGGGCGTATGAGTGTCTGTTTTCTTTTTTTGTTGTGTTCCAAAAGTTAACAGAAGTAATGTTTATTTTAACAGCAGCTTCAGCTTGTATTGCAGAGCAGACTGATTGCGATTTCGATTGCAGTTTCGATTTCGATTGCGATTACAATCAATTCATAGCGACGGCGCATATGGCAAATATAGCACCTATTTTATTTATATATTATGAGTGGATTCTTTGATTTGATTTACAATGTATGAATTATTATTTGCTGTTGTTGTTGTTGTGTGTGTGTTGTTTTTTGCGACTACACCAATTACCACAAGAATTTGCAGAAATCATAATAATAATAAATACAATTGTTATTGTTATTTTGCAGGTGAATAATAGAATATAATGTGTGTGTTGCTCTGTGCGCACCGTTGCACTTTATGCTTATAGCTGTGTGTATGTGTGTGATTGTTTATGTTTATGTGTGTGTATGTGTGTTTGTTTATGTTTATGTGTGTGTGTTTACGGTTTTTAAACTTTGAAGTCAAACGAATGTTAAAATTTGCAAAAAACCAACCAACAAAATCGAAAATAATAAGTTAACAGAGCATGTTGTGATTTGGTTTTTCTGTTAGCAATAAAGACAGAAGAGCGCGAGGAATTAACAGAATATGTAAACAACATAAGGGAATGTGTCTGTGTGTGTGTAGTTGTATGTATGTAAGTATGTATGTGTGTGTGTGAGAGTATATGAAGAGCGTATTAAAAACTTAAGAAAAACGAAAACCAAAGGAAAAAAAGAAACATTATGCAGCACTGTTAAAAACGCCTCCACACACAGACATACACACACCAACACACACACACAGAAGGCTGGACAGCGACACAAACCTTTGTTTTGGTATATTGGTGTCTGTTGTTGTTGTTGTAGAGGAAGTAGTGGTATTGTTGTTGTTGTTGTTAGGTCTTAGCGCTGTTTGAGTATTGAAACGCTTGTGGAACGGCAAAATATGTCGCTTGAGGCCACCAGCAGCAGCATTCGAGGAGGATGAGTAGTAGGCGGAGGAGGAAGAGGATGCAGAAGTGGAGAAGCAGCCAACACTTGAACTGGAACTATAACTGAAACTGGAACTGGAATGATGCGCCCCGCCTGCTGCTGCAGGTGTGCCAGGCCGTTGATGAGATGAGTACTGTTGTTGTTGTAGTTGTTGTTGGTAAAGCTGGAACGATGATTTGCTGCTGCTTGTGCTGCTGCTGCTGCTGGTGACGCAGCCGATCGCAGCACGCAGCGCTGGCGAACCAATGCTGTTGCTGCTTGTGCTGCCGCTGCTGCTGCTGCTGTTACTCTGCTGGCGTTTGCTGCCGACGCCGCTGCTGCATTGTGCGCTGAAATTTGGTGGTTTTTTTTGGGTGTTAAACTTTGAACTCAACTTTCAACACATGTGTCAGAGATCAGTCAAAGTCAAACGCGTGAGGTTTTCGCTGTGGTGAGTTTTACACAGACAGACAGAGGGAGAGAGAGAGAAGAGAATCTTTCTTTCTTTTTTTCCTCTTTTCTTTTGTAACTGCTGTAAGCGTATTATAATTATTATCGGCGACACATGCAACGTTTATCGAAACACACACACACACACACACACAATTTAAAACAAATTTATTTAAATATGTATAAGAGATATATAAATATATAGAGCTGGACGGCTCTGCGTTTGTTTCTAGGGCATGCCATTAAAGCGATTAATTATCTCTGCATTATTACATTCATATTTTCATAATCATATTCAGTTTCTAAAAAAAAAAAAGTCAAACACAAATCTCGCTACAAAAATATCACACATACTCCAAGTAAAGAAAAAAAAAACAAAAATATAGAAATAGAAATAGAACGCAAGGAGGAAGAACGTAACGCACGACGTAAGACGGGCTCAGTGCGTAGTGCAGAGAGCAGAAAGAGAGAGGAGAGAGTAAGAAGAACAAGTGGAGGAGAGCAGGAGCAGACAAGAGATAGAGTGGGGGGAGGGGGGGATGTAAAGAGAGAGCAATTGAAGCGAGACCAACTTACTTGATGCATATGCAGGGCGCCTTCTGCATAGGATCCACAAAATTCCAAAGCTTTTGTCGCTGCTTCTGCTGCTGCTGCTGTTGGATCTGCTGCTGCACATGCTGATTGGAATCCGTTTGCTTACTGTCCTCCTCATCTGCTGCTGACGTCGCTGCTGCTGTTGCTGACGTAGCTGTCGCTGCTGCCGTCGCTGCCGCCGATGCTGCTGCTGCTGCTGCGTCAACGTGCAGCGTATTCATAATGCAATCCTGCCAGGATCGTTCGGGCATTTCAATGGCCGCCGTGGCAGGTATATGAGTATTGTTCGTATTGAATGTAAATCCCGATGTTGGCCGCTGATCGTAATAGGGCTGAAACGTTAAACGTTCCAATGCGCTCACCGCCTGCGTCGCTGCCCGTATCGATTCTTTGACGGCCGCTGCTGCTGCTACCGCAGAACCTGCTGCTGCTGCTGCCACCGGCGTCGCTGTTGCTATCGCTGGCGTTGCTGTTGCTGCGGCGGCTGCTGCTGCTGCTACTGCTGACGAAGCGGAGGAGGAGCAGGAGGAGGAGAGGGTTGCCAGCACAGCTGTTTCACCCGCTGCTCCAACCGCCACCTGACCGCCATTTTGTGCCTTGTGCAGTTCGGCAAATTCCATGTGCTCCATGTCATCCAGATCTGTGACTAGAACATAGTTCGTCGGATGATACATCTTATGACCACCTGGAGAAGGGAGAGCGAAAGAGAGAAAATTAAAAATTGTGTATCCATCATTCCCAGCGTTCAGTTCGATTCTTACCCGAAACGACCTCGACAACTGGTGGCACGTCCGTGTTGTCCTTATTGCACAGAGGAAAGAACGAGGCCCAATCCTCGAGTATCTTCTCGGCCATTGGATCACTCGCCTTATAACTGTTCCCGGTGAGTATTGCCGCAATGCCAAACGGCGCCAACATCACTTTGCGCGCCTGCGTTGGCTGCGCTGCTGCAGCTGCTGGTTTCTCCACACCACCAGCTGCTGCTCCTCCATCGAGCAGAAGCGGGGGAGAGCCAGCGGGCAGCGGAGGAGATGTGCTGCCAGGTGTTGTCGCATTTGCATCCTGGCCGCCACGTGTTGCGCCCGCCTGTTGGCCACTGGCGGCGGCAAAGGCGGCAGCTGCCTCGGCCAGATGCTCCTTGGTCAAAGGACGCACGGCGGGATGTTCGCGCAGATCGATGGAGGCGCAAACCGTGTCCCCATGCACAAAGAACGTAAAAGAGAAGGATAAATGTTGCGAACTGCAAGCGAGAGAAAGAGAGAGAAAACCGATATAAATAATTAGGAAAATCAAAGCTCAATCCGCTCAAGAAATAAGTTGGGAATTGTGACTGGAAGAACGATGCGTGCTCAGAGACTTCCATGCGCACGCACAGAGTTCCAGTCATTTAATCTGGGATGCGCTTTGGAAAACGTTCAACGGGAATTGCTCTCAGCCGTTAAACCGTTTAATTTGTTGGAAAGTACATCCGAAATAGATTTCAAACAACATTCCACTGGAAGTCAACTAACCTGCGTCCAAAGAGACGATCGCTGGAAGTGCAGGGCTGCACGAACCACTTTCCAAAGCGCACAATATCCTTGGTTAACACAAATCTGCGAAAACAGTGCAAATAAAATGATTAGCTGGAAAAACTCGAATTAATTAATTGATTATCAAACGCTCACCTTTCCATTAGATTGTGGAGCGCTTTGAAGAGCAGCGAGCGGCATTCGTAGGTCAGCTCACCCTTCCAGGTGCCATTCCAGAGCGATTGATTCGCTGCAAAAATAAAAAGTGAAAGAGTCTAATTAAATATCAGCTCAAATAATTGTTTATAATAATTAGCTTACAATCTTTTTAATTGCGTTAATTGTAGTTAATGACTTTTAAAGCACTGTTCAACACTGGAAATTAAGAGCATTACTTTCAGCTTCCATTAATTCCCTCACACGCATAAGGAAACGCATACAAATGAGAAGGGGTTGGGGGGTAGTACTTGGAAAACATTCCAAACTGTTTATTTACACTTATAAAACCCCTTCCTTATTTTGTGTGTATTTGTGTGTGTGTGGATCGCATTCAAAGGCGGAAAATTACCGACTAATAAGAAATGCGCGCGCTCTCTTTTTCATATACACACACACACATATGCAAACACAAATGTAATATATATATATATATATAAGTGTCTGTGTATTTGGTGACAGCACATAAACAATGAGCAATAATAACAACAACAACGCAAAACATTCAGCGTGCTAGAAAACTGAACAGCGACAAAAAATTAAGCGACTCGCGCTTTGAGCATTTGTATTTTTGTTTTTTTTTTTTCTAAAAAGGCAATTTATTTGTGTTATTGTTTTGCGACGCGCGCAGCCCAATGACAAAAATTCAACTTTATAACGGAGGCTGGGATTAAGTACACAGTGAGAGAGAGAGAGCGCAGTGGAATTCTGCTGAAGAGAGCAGGCAGGCAAAGAATATGTAAATGCAGGGGGAGAAGAAGAAGCCTGCTGAGCACGAACAATGCAGAGAAGATAAATGGTAGGCGAAGGTAGCCGCGGCATATGCAGGCCGAGCCGGAAAGACAGACAAGGGCAGGCAGGCGAACAAATCAAAAGCGGAAGCGCAAACAAAATGCCACTTAAAACAAAACAAAAAAAAAACAAGGCAAAATGCGACGAGTCGACAAGTCGCCTAACAAAACAGAAAAACAGCAGCAGGCAGTGATAAGGCGGAGAGTGAAGAGCCGAGAATTTTTTTTTTGAAAATTCCAAGCATCTCCCACTCGCTCATAACAAACACACACAGACACAAACGACGATAGACACCTACACACGCAGCAGCAACAGCGACGTCGGCGACAGTTTACAGGGCGCAGCGCAGCAGCAGCGCCGGTCCACCCTCTACATTTAAAAAAGAAAAAAAAAACAAAACACCAAGTGGAAAAATAATAAGCAAAAGAAAAGAGGCGCAGACACTAGCGCCGAGCCGAACCCGAGTCGAGTCGAGCCGAAACATAGCCGATTCAAGTCGAGTTGAGTCTCGGCAAAGCCAACAACAACAACAAACACCAACAAATGTTGCAAAGATAATTACGTAAAGGTAAACAACATTATAAATAACAAAACACACAACACACACACACACGCAAATAGAGCGGGCCCGCCATTCACACACACACACGCATACTCACTCGCCGGCGAGTTAAGCGTGAGCGTGAAAGAGCAAAATGAGTGAGTGAGAATTTGTATGAAGGCAGCGACGAGTAGAGCGACGTCGACATCAACAGCAAAAACAATGCAGCGGTGTAGGCTGTGCTTTGGAAATTTATGCTGTTGGTGGTTTTCTTGCTGTTGTTGTTATTCTTGTTACAAGCCTGCTTGTGGATTTCATTATTTGTATATACATACATGTGTGTGTGTGTGTGTGTTAGTGTGTACCTTCTTTCAATGAGATCAGCGTAAAAATTGTTACCAGAGGGCAATGTACGATTATGTGTCAGAGTGTGTGTGTGTGTATGTTATACATATATTTGCATGTGTGTGTGAGTATGCTTGTATTTGCTAGTAGTTTCTTTCGCCGGGGGTCATTGCCGAAAATTAAAATCGTACACTGAAAGAAAAACTCAATAAACAAACAAACGCATCCAAATTGAAATCGAAACGAAAAACGGATCGCAGCAAAACAAATAAGAAAAATGCCAAACATCCACAAAAAAAAAGAAGCAACAAAAAAAAAACAAAACTGAAATTGCCGACGCTCGTTGGCCGGATTTAACTTGGACTTCGTTTTTGTTCAAGCGACGACGACGACAACGACGACTACGAATCTCTCATTCCAATTCCAATTCCAAAACTCCCGGCCATAACAGGAATATGACGACGAAGGCGACTGCTCAATGCAAATTCCAAATACATGTACACAACCATACACACACACTCACATGTATCTGTGTTTTTTTTTTTTTTGTAGCACGTGTGGTTTGTGCACATGTTGCTGCTGATGCCGACGGCTACTCACGCAGAGAGCGAAATAGAGAAGAGCACGAATAGAGATGAAGAGAGTGGGTGATGAGAGTCAGAGTCGATGTAATTGTTTTGTGTGTCTGTGGGTGCTTATATATAGATATAAGTGTGTGTACTATACATATATGCGCAAACATTCGTCGCTGTTTCTGTCCGCTAAAAGAGTGAGTTATTTCGTTTGAGTTTTGTTTGGGAAAAAAAGTGCCGCTAGTTTTGAAAGCTCACTCATTCGCTCTCATAACAGACATATCAAGAGAGCGCAAAAGAGAGCATTTCGTTCTTGTTGTTGTTGATTTGTGTTTGAAACGTTATTTTAGGTTAAAAATTTGCTACCACAGCAAAAGCAATATGAAAATGACGTGCAAAACGGGCCAAATGATGATGACAAACGTATGCAAATGTAAGTGTGTGTGAGTGGTGCCTCGTTGGTAATTACAGTGTCTTGATACAAATTTCTACAAGCCATGCGCCAATTTCACAACAACGACAACAACACAAAGTGTGTAATTTTCAAGAGTCGTTAGAAGATTGCGTGCAACAAGCAGCAACAAGCGGTAGCTGAAACAGCAAAATCTAATACACACACACACATATATACATATACAACGACAAACAATTTGTTGCCTTCGCGCCGTTTTATTTAACCAAGGTCAATAATCTATGGCGAGCTGAGCGCACACTGAAAATTGGTTAATAAGTTAAAACAACAACATTAAAATACAGGTAGAGCGAACGAAGCGAATGCAAAATTTTGCAGTAACAACACAACAGCAACAACAACAAAGCGCATTGTAATTAAGCTTTAAAACCAGTTTTCAAAATCGCACAAGAGAGAATAATCGTCGTCATCGTTGAGAGAGCGCACAATCAGTACACACACATATATATATATACATACGCGTTGCGAAGCTCTCATAATTATTAGCCCCAATAGTGGAGCGTGAAAGAGACGCACATACCCACATACATGCATACAGTCACATACACAAGCGCACGCACACAGAGAATGTCAAAGCAGCAACAAAATGACAGCTGTTTAAGGTAAAGTGTTGAACAACAATAAGAACAACAACAAGTAGTGTGGGGGCCAACAAGATTATCGATAATATCTAATCACGCTTATCGATATACATCTCGACAAATTGAGTTTGCTTATTTTCTAGGGGCAACCGTTATAAACAAAGTGCGAGCAAGTGTTGTATAGAGACCGAGTGCGTTGTCCGAGTGTGTGTTTGTGTGTGCGTGTGAATGTGGGCACAACAATGTAGTGACGTCTTTTCTGATGCGGCAAGTTGTACAACAACAATATCTGTCGCTGCTGCCTGCTGCGTTGCCACTTTTCACTGGGCAGCAGCAGGCACTTACAACGCGCGTCTCTGTCTCGTCTCTCTTTCTCTTTGGTTTGATTCACGCGCAAAAACACATACACACATTCCCACTCGCATACAAATGCAAAGAAAGCGGACAGCTTTTTTTGTTTGTTGTTTGCCGCAAAGTAAAAGGCTATAAAAAGAAAAAAGAGAATTCGCACACATGCACGCACGCACACACATCGCACGACAGCGAGACAAAGTAATGTCAATGCAATTAGTCAATGTCCTTGTCATTAAAAAAACGACAACGAAAGCAACAACAATGGAGACGGGGTCGACCACAATTTCACCACAGCAGCGCAGCAGCGTCGCCGTCATCGTCGGCGTCTGCAAATTTGTCAACAGCTAACTGTAAAAGTAAAATGAGCCGCAATATGACGTCGAAGGGGTTTTGCTTACTACTCTTACTACACGTTACGATTACGATTACGATTTGAGTTTACGTATTGTTGACGTATGTACTAATTCTGAGTGAAATTTGACGCAGACATTACATAGACTGCGTATTAATTTCGTGGCTAGAGATAGCAATAGGCAGAAGTTAAAAACAAAATAAAATAAAAATGTTACCCAGCACACCGCAAAAAAAAAGTCGGCTGATAAGAGCAGCCAAGCAGCAGCAGAAATAGAAGCAGAAGTCGAAGCAATAGCAGAGCAATAACAGCGCTCCGACGAGGTCGTCAACGTTTTGCATGTGTGTATGTGCAGTGGGTTGGGGAACAACCCCTTACAAGCAATACAACGTTAAGCATTGCCAATAATAAGAGAGCGAACGAACGTACGAGCATAAGCTTAAGAGCGAGTCACGATGTCGAGCGAATGGAAGAGTGTGTGAGTGAGCGCGTGAGAGGGAGAGCGGGAGAGTATCAAACGAAACAAAAACATTGCAAATGACACAGGTGACGTTTTACGCGTGGGCTGACCGCATCGTTGTGGCCAAAGTGCGAGTGGGAGAGAGACAGAGAAAGAGAGAGGGGGATGGTTGATTGGGGGAAGAGAAGACGATGTTCTGCTGCTGCTGCTGCTGCTTCTGACAGACGACGAGCGCGCCCGCCATGTGAGTGATGTTGGGGAGAAGCACACACACACCTACACACACATCTTTACATATATATATATCTATACACACATGCACATGTATATTTGACAGACACGCGAGTCTCTATCTGTGTGTGTATTGTTTTGGTTTTCTCATGGGTACAACAAATTTTTTGCTGCGCTGCACGCTGCGGCCTTGAAGTTTTATTAAATTTATAAAAAGCTCATATTGTAACGGACGTTCGCATTCGTTCACAATATTTTTGTTGTTGCATTATTTATGCATGTACTGCTGTACAGCACTGCTAAATATATATATATATATATATATATATATATATATATACATTTTTATGTGGTCTGTGGTTAAAACTTTCCGAAATAAACAACAGTTTATTTGTATTTGCGAGAAAGTTCTTACGAATCTGCCTTTGTTTTTAAAAAAGAGAAGAAGAAGGAAAAAAGACTAAGCTATAGTCAATATCTTGCGAATCTTACATTTTGCATATGGAAAACTGTCGTAGATTGCAATTTGCCCAAATTAGCTGACGTTTATTTATTATATTATATAATATATTACTCATTGTTCATTATTTTTCATTAAACATTATTTATTTAATATTTATCATTTACTATTTACTATATGTTATCTATTATTTATTATTCATTATTCCTTATTTGTTATTTATTTATTATTTAATGTTTAATACTTTTCATTTATTATTCATGTATTTATGTGGATTCTTTGGACTTACCAGCTATTTTGAGAAGCTCCGCATCGACGAGCTCACTGAGATCCGGCTCCTCGCCGTACCAGAAGATCCACAGCTCCTTGGCGGCGGCCAGCGATAGGGGCGGATGCACCGTTGTCGATGTGGTAATCTCAAAGTTTAAGGCATTCGGATCGGTGTTGTCCTGCTTGGTGGATTGCACGCGGCGCCACACGCACAGCATGTCCGCCTGCATGCATCGCGAGTAGGAGCGGAGAATGGGATCCGCCAGTGGATCACTCGACGCATTCGGCCGTTCGCCATTAACGAACTTGCGCCATTTTATTCCACACAAGTCAGTCTGCAAGAGACAGAGAGAGAGAGAGAGAGAGATATATAATGAGTGTTGGAAATGGTGGTTTTTATTATCATTGCTTGATTGCTTCATATTAATAATATCATCCGAGAGATAAGCAGCGAAAACATATTTCTAAACAGCAGGTACACAACACTGGCACATCGACAGCAGGGTGGGTCAAGTATTTGCATATTGGATTAGACCTGTCAGCGAGCTCGATTTATAATTCTTATCTGTTATTTATCTGCAGTAAGTGGTAAATGTCGCTTTAGTAAAAAAGTGAAGCATATTGCAACACTGCAAAGTGTTAAATTTTAGTTAAGTTAGTTATACCTGTAGATATAGTATGTTAAGTTTCTTTAACTCTAACCACAATCTACAACAAAGAACACCAAAAGCAATACATACATTTATTTCAAAAATACTTTCCCATTGCCCAAAATTACCGTTAATCTCTTCATTTCATACGTATAACTAAATAGCCGCTATTGAATAATTCCGTCTTCTTCAGTTCCAGCTGAATTGATTAGCTTTTATTCACTATATTGCATATTCACTTTATTTACTTCTTTTTGGTTTACAAGAAAAAAACATAGGCAACAATCTGTAATATACTGACAAAAAATAGGAAAGAAAAGCTCGCTTGGCATCCCAAAAACAAATAAAAAACAACTTTGACTGGCAGTGTTGCAAAATGCGGCACAAATACACACACATTCCACAGTCGCTTCTGTGCTGCACTTGTAACAAAAACAGAAACAAAGTAGACAAAAATAATCAAAAAAAAAAAAAAAAAAACGAAAGGCGCGTACAAAGCAAAGCTCAAGACAAAAGCACTGCAAGAAGCAGCAGAGGAGAGAAGACGAATTGAGGCGCAAGTCTCGCAAGCAAAAAGAAAACCTAAGCGATACAAAAACAACACCAACAACAAGAAAAGAAGAAAAACACAGCTAAAGAAAAAAGAAGAAAACAAAAAACTGGCTGGGGTCGGTCTCATTGGCGGCTTCCGTTGCGCGAGTTTTGTGTAGCTTTGGAACAAGTTGTTGTTGTTGCTGCGGCAAGCACAAATCAATGGCCAAAGACAACAGCAGCTAAAAAACAGCAACACACACACATACACACTCAGCAAGAGAGCGTTAAGCATAACAGAAAACAAAAACAAAAAAATTCAAAAACTCAATACACAGACATGGCCAAATAACTGCACCTCACTCACACACACACACACACAGATACACGCAGACAATAACAACAGGCAGGCAGGCAAGCAGGCAAGCAAAAGGTATTCCCCAAACCACGAATGGCTGCCGACAACGACGACGATGCCGACGAACATCGCCCCCAACATCAAAAACGACAACAAAAGCTCGTCGCGTTCCACATTCTTGCCTTGATTTTCGTATTTGAGTTTTTCGGTATCGCGATTTCTGTTTCTGTGTTTCCATTTTTCGCTCTCGTTTTTATTCTTTTACAACTCGCTACTTTGTGTGTGTATTGCTGTCATGTTTATTGGCTTTCGCATTAATACCTTCGTTTCCCCTTCCCTGCACTACTTTTCTGCTCTACTCCTCAGCCAAAACTTTGCATCTGTTCAAAAAGGGCGGCCAGCAGTTTTTGCGTTTTTCAACATTGTCTTCAGCAGCAGTAGCAACAACAACAACACTGTCTTTATCTGCCGACGTCAGCGGCGTCTCGTTGCGTTGCACACTCTCACTCAAATACACACTCGCATACCTCTGTGAGTATCTGTGTGTGGACTGTTTGCGATTTTCATGCTCAATCGACACTACAAACAAACATTACATATACTTTCTGCTTCTTCTTCTTTGCTTGTGGGCTATATTATATTTATTTTCGTGTGCGTCTCTCACTCACACACACACACACACGCCCAGAGAGAGCGTGTATGTATATGTTATCATTCTGACACGCTTTGCTAATGCTTGTTCACGCGCGCGTGCCTCCCAAGTTCAAGCGGACTTTTTTTCTTGTTTTTTTTTTTCTTTTTGTTTTACTACTGCTACTGCTGCTGCTGTCCACTCTCTCGCTCTCTCACGACGCGCGCTCTTTCGTGCGCGCGCTCTCGTTAGTCTTTTTTACTCGCTCAGAGAAAGTTTTGCGCGTTTGTTATTGTTTCGTTATTTCGTACAGCGTTCGTTCGTTAGCGTGTCGGCCTCTGTTGCTGTTTGCTGTTGCTGGTTGTTGTCGCTGCTTCTATTTCGGCGCCGTGGGGTGGCAGCGACGGCGGCAGCACATTGACTTGTGTGTACGCAGCGCAACGCAACGCAAGCGTCGACGTTGACGTTCCTCTCAACATTTGAGCTTTTCTTTTGCGTTTTTTACATTGCCTGTGTTTCTTTTATTGTTGCTGTGCTGTGCTGAGCTGAGCGAGAGAGAGAGACAGATTCATTAAAGAAATATGCCACTGTGAAAAAGAAACGCCGCCGCCAGAAGAAGAACCTGTTATGGCCGGTCACAGTTGCCGCATGTAGTACACACACACACACATACATATTTATATATATATTTCTTTCAACTTGTTTTGCGTCTTTTAGTCCCCCCCTCACAATACGCACAAATAGTTCCGCTTTCGTGCGTGTTTTCTGAGCTGAAAAGATGGAAAAATAACGTTATACGGGAAGGCGACTTCCACTGGAAGTATTCCACGAACTATCGATAAGCCCACATTGATACAACAGCTGACGATCGTAACGTGGGCGGGCAAACGAGGCTCAACCTGAAACGCCCTGTGCATACATTGCTATTGCATTCATTTGTCACTGACCTAGATCTACTACTACTAAGCACACCAATTGGCAAAGAACGGAAATGGAAATGGCAATGTGAGAAAGAGAGAGAGAGAATAATAGACTTACCAAGGCATAAAAGTTTGTATGGCAATCCTCCAAACTTGCGCCGTTTGTCTGATGATTTTGATGCGTCATAGTTCTTGGCTTGTTATTTTTGCACAACAGCAGCACCTCATTTTCTCAACAAAAAAATGATGTGAATATTGTGTGAGAAATTTGTAAATACTTTTTTCCTTATTCCTTATACTTTTTTAGTATTTTTTTCTTTGCACATTTGTTTTGGTTGTTTTGAATTTGTTGTAGTTGTATTGATTCTAATACGACGATAGATACACAAATACAGAGACACGGTCACACACACATACACACACGCACACACACACACACAGAGAGACACGAAATTGCGTTGCTTGCTGAGTGAATTTTTTTCTGCCTTTGTTGTTGTTGTGCAGCTGTTGCAGTTTACAGCTACTTTGGATTTGATTTTGGCGTTTAAATTGCAGAAGACGAAGAAAATGAAACACACGAACACGAGCAGAATCGGAACAATTATATATAATTATTATTGTGATTATTTTCTTTTGCTTTTTCTTTTTTCTATTTTCTATCTATTTTTTTGAATGCACTTAGCAAACATCCACAAACACATACACACATACACATACAGCGGCACTTTTATTCGTTGTTTTGGTTTGGTTTTGTTTTGTTTGTATGCGTATGTTGTTGTTGTTGTTATTATTATGATTATATTTGCGTTGTTGTCATTGCTGCTGCTGCACTGAAAGAAACATGGAGGACGTAATTGCAATTGCTATTATTATTATTATTGTTGTTGTTATTGCACATTTCGTTTTGTGCACGCTTTCGGAAGCCGAAACACGTTCAGCTAAATCAATTTCGAAATCAGCAACATCATCCAGCGAGAGCGAGAGAGTGTGCGAGAGAAGAGCGAGCGAGAGAGAGCATCAACTGTAACTGTAACGTTTGCTTGCAAATTGCACTCACAACATACACACACATATTCACAAATATAGCCACTCATCACTAACACACACACACACAAAAACAAACATATACTTATATATGTACACTGGCACACGACAATGAAAAACAAATTTTGAATTTTTAACGCTCTTATTGTCTTGTTTTTTTTATTGTACTGCTACTTATTACTACTACTTATTTGTTGCTACACACGCACACATATGCGGCAATTACAAGGGTGGACGGCCGCTAGAAGCAGCAGCAGCAACCGCCATCTCTACTCTCTGCCTCGTCTCTCTTCTTGAATCTAAACCACTGTCCATTCATTCGCACGACATTCGAAAGAGAGAGCGCAAAAGAGAGCGCCTATTTTGAGCGAGACACACACACTCACACAAATTGACTTTTTCAAGGCGCGCAGCCAGCGACAGGGGTGCTTCTCAATGTATGCGTGTGTGTAAGTGAGCGAGTCGAACACACACAGATATATATATATATATAAACACCGACGCACGACGACGATGAAAGTCGTTGGGTTTTCGTTAATCGTTGATGTAGACAAAAAAATACAAAATAATATGTAGTTTTTTTCTTCTTTTTTTTTTTAGGTACACGGCGCTTGTACAAAATCGAGTAAATAAATATATGTATGCATGGAATGGTTTGGAATGCATGGCTCGTTTAACGGCTGACTTCCTGTCGACGTTGGCAATTATGCACTTTTTTTTGGCTCTCTCTCTTCGGTGTATACATTTTTGCGTATTTCGATTTTTCGTTTCACAATTCAAAATATGCGACATTCATTTACAACACTATTTTTGCGGTTTGCTGCTCTCTCTCTGTGTGTGTGTGAGTGCAGCAAGAAACATAAGTGCAAAGAAGTTTAGCATCAGCAGCAGCAGATGAGTAATAGTAAATTGCAATGAGTTAGTTTGTGCTTAAAAACTCACACACACACACAAACGCTCATAAATAAGCACGCACGCACAAACACACACACACGCGACGACAGCAGCAGAGAGGTGACGGCGGCGGCGGCGAATTCGATTTAAATATTGCTAATCTTTTTGTATCGAACACACAACTTGCACCTTGCACAGCCTTCTATTAAATACATAGTATTGTTTTAATTTATTACTCAATATATGTATTGAGCATATATAAAAATATATATTTAAAAAAATATATATATATATATTCATACGTTTTTCTCGCTTTTCGCACAACACCAAATGACGAGTCAGAAAATTTTAAACCGACTGCGAGACTGTTTCTGCTACTGCTCTGGCTGGCTGACAACGACAACGGCGACGACAGCGACGACGACGACGACGCGACATCGCCTCACACAATGGAAATTTCGCTCGTCTAGCTTTGCTTTTGCTTTTTGAGTAGGTTACCTACCCAAAGAGAGCAACAACTACTGCCAGTCAGCAGCAGCAGCAGCAGCGAGTAACGAGAAAGAGCAACAGCAGCAGCACCAGCACCAACCGCACTCACTCAAAAGAAGATTTGTCAGTTCTCTCTAGCTCTCGCGCTCTTTCGACTAACGAATAGCGGCGTTTTGCTCATTTTGCAAGTGAGCAGCCAGAGAGCGTCCAAACAAGTTTGTTTGCTTGCCTAAGTGTGCGTATGTGTGTGTGTGCTGTTTATTATACGGTCGCTCGCTCGCTCGCTCACTCTCTCCCTCTCTCTGTCTGTCTCTCTTTTGTGCATCGCCCTCTAGTTGAATGCTGCCTATGCTTAGGGATGCAACTTTTAAAAAAAACCGGAGAATAACCAGATCGATTTGCTCAGAGTATGGCGCAGACAAAATGGCCAGTCAGCTTGTGCGAAAAACCATGGCACACTTTTTATATATATAACATATATATATATATATATATATATATATATATATAGTAAAGGAGTGATCTCGACCAAATCAAGACAATAAATTTGTAAAAAGAATCAGAGAATTGAAATCTGTTCATGTTTTATGCACTACACAACACTACACACAAACACACACACATACGCCTACATGTATGCATATAGAGTGCGAAACGTGATACATAGACAGCATTCCTCTCGCATTCACACGCACACACACATGCACACGTACATACACACACACAAACTACAGCAGTGACGCGAGCAACCACTTCGTAGGTTTTCTTTCGAAATTTGTGGTACACATATCTTTTTTTGATAGTTTTTTTTCTTTTTAGCCCACACTTTTGTTCTTGATTTTTCCATTTGGTGTGTAGTTAATTTTTGTGACTTTGGGTTATTTCAATTTTAAAATAGAAGCCGCAACTTTTGTGTGGAATACACACACACGCACACACATACATTCATATGCATGTATGTATATATAAATATATGCACACACACACAAAATGATCCCCTTTCCAGCGGCAAACTACAAATTATGAATGCTATTGCGGAAATATTTAAATGCAACTATATACGTACACACACACGCACCAACACACTCACACATGCATGTAATATAATAATGGTCGATTGTTAAACACTGTTATTTATGTGGTATTAATTTTAATATATGCTTCACTCATGGCTCTGTCTCTCTCTCTTGCTCTTTCTCTCGCTCGACACACATACACGGAGAGGTGTGCATATGTATGAGGATGTACATATGTATATGTATTTTTCGCATTTCTTTGGCTTTGAATCTTTTTTATCATTTACATTTTTTGTGCGCTGTGCCACTTTCTATTCACAATTTTATATTCTTTTTTGTAACAAAACTTGCACTTCTTAGATGTAACCGGCACGTTACATCGCCTGCGTATCTGGGCACGTACGCACTTTGGCGCGTTTGCAACAATTTTCAAATTAAATTAAAATGCACGAAGCAAAAAATTTTTCCAGCAACAAACTGCCGTTTTCTTTGCGTTTCTTCGTCCGAACGTCGCGACGGAGTGTTGGCAAGCGCCTCGCATTAGCGTTGCATTTGGTGGGCCATTCAGCTGTTTGCACAGGCACAGTACGCTGCTCATACCCGTAATGTTAGAAAGCACTGCATAAAATGTTAAAGAAAATGAACAGCTTGCAATGACCTTAAATAAATTTAATAAAATTAATTGCTGAATGAGAAAATGCATTAGCTGTTGCTTATTAAATATTATAAGTTTATTTAATTAAATGCTTAATGTTAATGTTAGTTTTGCTTGCATGACAAGAGGCTAGAAAAATATCGAAACTATCGTCAGTTACATTGTATGCCTATCGATATATGCAAATTCGTGTTTGACGGCGAGCGATAAGTTAAATGTTTTTATTATTAAAATGGCAACAAAATTAAATGTGAACATTCGAACACTGCTGACCAACTGCGAGGATCTCGCCAAAAGCGAGGACAACTTTTGGCGCCTGCAGAAGTTTCTCAAATCGCTGGACACAATGGTTGCCGAGCTGGCGGCGATGGATGAGTGAGTTGGACTTATTTTTACATCAGTGTGTGTGAAATATGTGACAAAAAAAAAACAACCGAATCCCAACCAACCAACCCCGCCCTATTCCCCCCTCCCTCTCAACCCATCACTCCCTTCACAGTCCACAGAGCGCGGCGAGAATAGCCGGCTACAAGGAACGCCTCGCTGCCCTCAAGTTGACCACGGGCATGCCCACAAGCAGCGTCAGTGGTGGCGCCACAAATTCAATGGGGGAAATCGCCATGCAGGAAATGCGTCAGCTGCAGAATACAGCGAAGCACAACGAAATACGCAAGGATCTGCTTCAAGGTAAGGATGCCACATAATCTTTTCCAATTAGACACACTAATTTTCATCTCTTACCAGATGCGGATACGTTGCGTCGTCGACGTGGCGCCGCCGATGAGGCATCGCCAACGGCTGGCGGCGAAGCCACAAGTAGCAATAATCTAAACGAGGCTGTCAAGTATTACAATAATGCGCAGGAGAAGATCACAGAGCACATGCTCTCGCTGACCCACAATCTCAAGGAGCAAACGAAGACGGCCAATCGGATAATTAAACGTGATACGGAAATCGTTGCACGGTCCACGGGCGTGGCAGATAGAAACATTAATTCGCTCGGCAAGGAGGCGGACAAGTTGGAGCAGCATTCCCGCAAGGCATACAAATGCTGGCTCTGGCTAATGATTGTCTTTGTCATCGTCGTCTTCTTTGGTGAGTCACTGGCAGTGTTTCTTCTACTTATGGTTTACAGATTGATTATGTTTAATCTCTTGCAGTCATGGTGCTATTCATGAAGATCATGAAGAAGAAAAAGGCGTAAACTATTTGCTAGCTGCAAGCAGAAATCCAAATCCAAACCAAGTCCAATCGTTATCTTAGTTCAATAGGTTATCCCCCAACGGACAGCATTAAATGAAAATATAGCCAAGCCACAATTTGCGGTTTTAATAATCATTTTATAGTTTTAAGTAAAGCCACAAGCATTATCTCTATATATATGTATAATGGAATTAATTTTTAAATATTTCATTATTCCAATTTTGAATCGATTACATTTCAATTTGAGTTTCAAGAACGTAATACTTTATTTAAGTCGTGTTTTGGAAAATGTGCTAAACCTAAAGTGCTAAGCAGGGCTTAAATTCGAGAGCAAAATTGAGCAAGAATCGTTTTTAACAGTGTATTTAAAGACAAGCTAGCTAATATATATTTATATATATATATTTATTTATTTATAAGTATATATGCATTGATGTATATTGTGTGGATTTTTCCGTCGTTGTTGTCCTTATCAAGAAATGCGTTTGTCGTTGCCTAATTCGCTGCTACCAGTTGCGTGACGCCATCCTTTGTGATGAGCTGCAGAAGCGAACCATTCTTGGGCCGATCCTCGGCCTGAGTCCATTTGCGGAAGAGCTGAGCGACCTCGGTGAGTGGTGTCCATGTGCCAAAATCTGCTTTGGGCATCCATTTGCGATTCATGGGCGTGTCGAGGGTGACGGGCAGAATCGAAACGACCAGCGAATCGCAGGGCAAACCCGAATTCTCGCCAGCCAGCGAACGTGTCAATTGATGCACTGCAGCCTTGGCCATGCCATAGCCAATCATGCCGGGTGTGCCCTCCAGCGCAGGCTTAGCACCAGTCAAGGCCAATAAGCCGCCATCCTTGAGATGCTGTGCGGCGAGTGCAGCTGAAATGCTGGAGCTCCAAACGCTCTGGCGCCACATCAGATCCGCATTCTTGGCCAGATCTGGTAGGAGTGGAGGGGTTTCATTGTGAAATGTGAGCTTATATTTATACTTATATACAAATGACTCACCTTTCTTGGCATTTCCACCTGCCCAGCCGCCTGCCACGCAGATGACTGCATCGAGTTTCTGGCCAGCAAGAGATTCACCCACTTTGCCGATTACAGCCGACTCCTGATCCTCCCAGCTGACGTCGCGAGGCACCACAACGCTGAAGTCGGCCTTCTCATTTTCACTTAGATCAATGCTGCCGACCCACTGCAAAAAAAAAAAACAACAGTGAAATCCAAAATTGAAGGTTCTTTTTAACAATTGAATTGCTTGTGAAAGACTCGCTGGGGGTCAATGAAAGTGAAAGGCGGAGTTTTTGTTATTGTGTTTCAGTTGATTTTTACTTACATAGTTATTGGCTTTGAAGTGATCGACGCAAGCGGAGCCCAAAGCTCCTTTGCCACCATAGACAACGACGCGACCCGCGGACATGATACGTGTAGCCAGCTTGACGGCTTAAACTCAACTGAACTCAACTCGAAACACGAAAATCCAAAAACTGAAAATTTGCTCGTAAATCGACAGGGTAAATGACTCAAAAACAAAAAACACGTTGGGCTTTTAATTGCTGACTGACTGGACTGGACGGCAGCTGGGGCTTTTGGCCTGCAAATCAAGTTTTTAATTATCAGGTATTCTGACTTGATTAATTCAAAACAAGAACACACTCACACTTATTTTTTCTTATTTTTATTAGCGTGCAACAAGTGCAAAAATTAAATCAATATTGTGGTATTTTGTGTGGTATTTTCTTATAACAGCAATGTTAATAAAATAACAGCATTCACATTTGCAGAACTTTTCGGGCTGTAAGCAAGCATTGAACTTTTGCAATTAAAGCACTCATGTTTAAAATAATTGAATGCCTAATTATATGGATTTCAGTTTAATAATTTCCAAGCTAAACAATTCGATGTGGATCGCATTTGAATTCAACAGCTTATCGAAAAGAAAAATTGGTGTGGTGGTAGGTCAATTACTTGACAAATTCCAGTATTATTGTTAAGTAGTCAAGCATTTGTTCGGAAAACATATTTGTAAACTAAATGTTAGCGATTAGTTTACAAATAAATTTGTGCCGTTATTAATTCTTTTATTTAGAAAAGGAAATTGCAAGGTGTCAGGTCTCTTATTAAATATCTGGCAGCGCCATTTTCACTTGTCCATTCGCTGCGAACGATAGATATCGATATTCGAAATTGGCATTCACAACGATCAATGTACACGTACACTCACACTCACACACGTACACGTACACACAATTTTGTCGTGATTTCTTTTATTTGTTTAAAATAATAGTTAAATTACTGTTTTGAATGAATAGCTAAAACGTGCAGCAATATGTTGAGAGTTTTACATTCTGTTGCGCTAACCGTTGCGCAATAAGCACAACGCAATTCGAAGGCAGCCAGCGCAAAAAGACAACATTCTTCGCAGCGAGAGAGGAAAGAGAATTTTTGGAAGCGACCAAGTTATTTATTTCATAAGAAACTGTTAATAAAACGGCCACAGAGAAAAAGAAGAAGAAATGGAGCGGCGCGTTAAGCTAAAAACAATTAATCCGCATATAACGTGCAAAATCTGCGGAGGATATTTCATAGATGCGACCACAGTGACGGAGTGTCTGCACACATGTGAGTTGCACCCAGCACCCAGCTAATTGCCAGTTACAGTTTAAGTGGGCGGGCAGCCAGGAGCGAGTGGAAGAGAGCAGCACCTGCACCGGTTGCGATTGTGACTGCAACTGCGACTGTGATTGCGATTCGCTTTTCTGTCCAGTCACTTGCCGGACAAAGTGCTACAGTTACTTTCCAACACACACACACAGGCACACAAACAAAAAGTAGCTTAAGCGTTGCCGGTTGATCCGCGTGGGTGTTGGGAAATTCTTGCTAAAGAATGGCAACGCCAAGAGCGAATCTTACGGTTTTTTGAGTTTCAACAATGAAACAATTGTTAATGTTTTTACTATGTGTTTTTTGTAGTTTGCAAAAGCTGTTTGGTCAAGCATCTGGAGGAGAAGAAAACATGCCCCACCTGCGACAGCATCATACATCAGTCACATCCGCTGCAATACATCAGCTTCGATCGCACCATGCAGGACATTGTGTACAAATTGGTGCCAAAACTGCAAGAAGGCAAATAACAATAATAATTAATTAATTGTAAATACCTAAATTAAATATAATTTGATTGCAGATGAATCGCGACGTGAACGTGACTTCTACAAGAGCCGCAATATGCCATGTCCGAAGGACATAACGCAAAACCACGAGGATGACAATGAGAAGGTGATGGAGGCGCATGCCGAATCCGATTTCCATCGCCTGGACGAGCAGGTCAACGTGTGCCTCGAGTGTATAAGCAATAACTTTAAGAATCTGCAAAGACGCTTCATACGCTGCAGCTCGCAGGCGACGATAACGCATCTTAAGAAGCTCGTCGCCAAAAAGATACTCAACGGCATTGAAAAATATCGCGAGGTGAGTGAAACAACACAATATATATACAGCTGAGGTCAAAACAATAGTAGTGCACACATATTTGGCAAATGTTAAAAGAAAACATTTTAAATATAGTTAAAAAATTAAAAAAATTTGATTTAAGCACAAGCAATCAATGCTGAAGATGAGTAAACATTCAAAGTTGGCACAGATATCAAATTAATTTGTATATTTGACTTTTACTTTAAATAAATTATTATATTTCTAAACCCTAGATAGTATTTTAAAACATTCCCAGATGAGAAATCAAATATTTTTTGTTTTGCAGAACTGAATCTCTTCATATTGAAGATTTTGAATAGAAAAATTAGTTATATTTTTATTAAATGCTTTGAGAAGCACTACTATTATTCTGACCACAACTGTATATATTAAATGTACTATTTATTAATAACAATCTTTGTTTCGCTGACAGATCGACATCCTGTGTAATGAGGAGCTGTTGGGCAAGGATCATACGCTGAAATTTGTGTATGTGACCCGTTGGCGTTTTCGAGATCCACCGTTACGTTTACAGTTTCGTCCGCGGGTCGAGCTTTAACAGCAGCCGTGTATACAAAATGATCTATATATATACAGTATATATATATAAATATATATATTTTTATAATTTATTGACATAGTGCTCTATTATATATGAATCTTAGGAGTCCCCCCCCAAACTAGTGTTTAGTCCACTCTCTAAAATAATAGTGTATATATATATATATATCTATATATATATGAATCTGTTCATGTATATGTATATATATATATATATATATATATATATATAGTCGTTAAGTTGAACGTGATTAGCATACGTCTTCGTGTGACTTTAGTTGCGGCATTTATTGCGCCTGATTTAATCAAACCTTCCTAAAGTTCTCTCACCAACTTTTTGCTAAATCCGTTAAAGAAATGCAATATTTTTGTATGTTTTTTTTTAGTTTGTCATGTGTATTATTTATTAATTTAATGTACAAACACACGAATGTATATAGCAGTTGAGTAAATAAATTTGTAATTATGTATAAAGTTTAAAATTCATTTTGGTTGCTGCTGTTGCTGCCGATCATTCCTATAGCTATATCTTGCATGTGGCCGAATCGCTGGTGGAAATCTATATCGAAACGATGGCGGCGGCGGTGCACGTGGATATGGCGCAAAATACGGATTCAGTGGACGCGGCGGATGCATGGCAAATGGCATCGGCGCAAACATGGCATTAAAATGAGGTTGGCGCGGCCATCCCTGAAAATGGGGAACGGAATTAGAGGAGATGGTTTAATAAATCATTTTGTATACCCTTGCAGTGGGCATGGCATCTGTTATATATTATTAAGATTATACTAATTAATAATGTTAAGTAAATATTCTGGATTGGTTAATTTAGTTGATGCTTCTGCAAGGGTATTCTCAATTTCGATGTTTTGTCTTCTGCTTGTGTTGGAGTTGGAGTCAAAATCAACTAACGTAGGCATAAGGATAACCAGTTGCTGGCACTGGCACCGGCACCGTTATAATGCGTGGTGTTCGCGAGCGACTCCTGCTTCGACTGCGTCGGCGATGCGTGTATGAAGAGGCATGCCTCATATTGCGGCTGTTGCGTTGACTACGCTCAGCACTCCTTGAACGCCGGCGCTGGCGATTACTTGTTTGCGGGGAATGCGAGCGAGATCTTAGTCGTTGGCGTCGCGCCGGTGGCGGCGGCGGCGTTGGACTGCGTTCCGTTCTGTGCTGCCTCAGATTGCGCGTTCGGTCGCGCTCGCGTCCCACGTCGGTGAAATAGGGCAGCTTCTCCTTCTCCCTCTCCTTTGCCCGTTCCCTTTCGCGAGGACGGCGCCTGGAATCTACATGCAATACACATATTTAAAAATGCATTTCAATATTTATGCGTTTCTCAATTGGTTGCAGTTCTCTTTTTCTTCTTCTCTTTCGCTTTTGCTTGCGTTCTCCCATTTGTCCTTTCCTTTAGCTGTTGTTCTTCACTTTCGTTCGAATTCGCTTCAATTTCAATTCCCATTGCATGTCACTTTTTTGTCACTGTTTTGTCACTATAAAAAAAACAACAAAAACAACAAAAAATAGTTATTTTGCACAATTTAGCTAATACTGCTATTATCACAATACGGACCTCTGTAGGAACGGGAACTGCTGTCGGCGTCCATGCTTTAATAAGGACTCGACGCTAGTTGCCTTGAAATTTATATAAAGTATGCAGCCAGCACCAAGGTTACGCATAGAACAGCTTCTCTTCGGATTGCACACATGACGTCACATCTTATAAGATTCTTAGCTTGAATTTTCTGAAAGCGTAGTTATGCATTTGAATTATTTATCCTGCATTATGAATGTAATTTTCTCTAAAATGTATAAATTTTCAATCACAATGCGCACATAACTTTAAATCTGACGTCACGCTTAATGCGTGCACAACGTGTTCTTCTTCTTTGTCATGAGCGCCCCCCATTCAGAATATCGATAGCCACTCGCCTAACAGCTTATCGCAATTGAGAAATATCGACTTAAGCCCATATTTAAAATTGTGTTATTATTAACTATGATTTTTTAAAGACAAATAGATGCGAAGCAGATTTACATAAGTGTTTCGTTGTTATTTTTGTAATTTGTTTAGATACTCAGATGTTGTTCTTTAGTCAGTGTGAAGAGTTTTTCTTGGATTTATTGCTGCAAGTTAATAATTAGTTAGTTGATAAAGCAAACTTAGAAAATAACGCAACTCACATTAGTTTGCCGGTGAATGTTAAGCCGCTGTGGGTTTTGTCCATGTGACCTCGGCAATAGTCGCTTCTAGCAAAGGTTTGCGGACAGAACGGACACTGATACGGACGTTCGCCAGTGTGGCCGCGCATATGCCGCTTAAGATGCGAATTGAACTGGAAGCTGGTCGGACACTGGGTGCAGGCAAATGGACGCGCATCGCTGTGTGAACAGAGATGCTTGCGCAGCAGCGAAATTGTTTTACATTTCTTATTGCAAATGGAGCAGATTTTCGACTTACTCTCCATTTTGCTCAGCTTTGGGCCGACGACGCGTTTGCCATGGTGGTTCTCCGCATGCCATCTGCAAGAAATATGATGATGATGATAACAATCATGATGACATCCACGCCACTTACTTCTTATGCAAACTCAAAATGCTCAGGTGATCGAATGTCTTGCTACAATATGCGCATTTATAGAGTGGGGTTTCACTGCTCGCTGGCTCGACTTTAATTTCGTGTTCCTGTTTAATATCGAGCACATCCAGCAGCTCTTTTTTACTTGGCACCTTTTTCGTTGGCGTTTTTATCGCTGCCCGTTTCTGCCGCTCCTCGCGATTAGCTCTTAGTTGCTGATAGCTTTGCTCACATTTCCGTTTGAACCTGAACGCGTTTTGAGCGCTCAGCACACAGTTGAGGCAGATTTGTTGTGGCAGTGAATCGTTGAATTTGATGTGGCAATCGGCACACTCGTTCAGCATCTCCGCCAGGCTGGGCTCCGGATTGGCCTTGTGCGTTTGCTCTCGCCTCGCGAATATTTCCACCAGTGTCACCGTATCGTTTAAACAAATGCGGCACATCTCAGCTTCCATGCTTTAAGCTTTGTTTTCCTTTTCTCACGCTGGAATGTATATTTACATAGATATGTTGTGATCGCCCTCATCGCATATATCGATAGGTCGTTGCGATGTATCGATAACAAGAAGACGCAAAAATTAAAAGAATAATTATTTATTTTCAACATTGAATGTAACTTTAAAATACATACATATATTATTTAAATGTGTAGTAATACATATTTGATTTGCTCTTTGTATTTAACTGTTTCGGTCCTTGAATGCATTACATTTAAATGCTGTTTTGATTGAAATTCAGGTGGTTAGTTTTCAAATAACTTTTGTAGCCGTTATTCTTCGAGATAAAAATAGACTATCTATTTCAAAATAAAATCGGGTACTTTAGTCATAAGGCAATCCGTTGATGGCACGACAATATTGAGTGCTTATTGGTGTTTCTTTTGTTTTCATTTGTATACGTGTAAGTTTATCATAATTAATAAATGATCGTGCCAGAAATGCAGTGTTTTTCATTGTTTTCAATTTTGTATATGTTTTCTTGTTGAAAATAGAATAAAATCATTCTAAATAAAAAATCATTCGTACGTTTCTCAAGTACTTAATCATAATAAATTAAAAGTAATTTATGTTATTACATACATCTGGTGCAATCATGATAAAATTGGAATACAAATATAAACTTTTCTCCATTTTTTTGTTTGTTTGTTATAAATACATAATTTCTTTTCTTTTACGCTTTAAATTTGCGTTTACGGAATGTGTGGCAAACGTGGCCAAAGGAAGATGTCGGGTTTTGGATTTGGCTTTATTACGGAATGTTTGCGTGTGTGTGTATGTGTATGTGTGTAAGAAGAGGTGTGGAAATCTTTATGTGTCTACATGTGTCTGGTGTTGCCAAAGTTAATGCCCGACTGGGTGGCACCCTTGTTGGAGCCGTACTGTAGCGAGATGACATTCTGACCGGCACGCATCTGCTCATCGCTGAACTGGCGCACATTCTTGTCCGCCTCCTTGGGACCAATCGATGGCTTGTTGAAGTTGGAGGCCTGTTTATCGAAAAATGAAGACGTGGCATTAAAATTGCATCATATATATATATATATATATATATATATGTATATGGATATATATATCTGTAACTCTCTCTTACTTTACGACCCAGAGACTGCAAGCAGATGACGACAGAATTGAGATTCTGACGCTCCCAGAGATCGACACTTTGGAATGTCTCCTGTGTGGGCACACCAAAGTTCTTGGCGCACTCAAGGAATGCCGAAATGTTCTCCATGCACTTGAAGGCCATTTTGCTTTCGTTCACCTTCTTGATGGAGCCGGGCTGCAAGGCGTTGGCCAGCTTGCACAGGATGACGCCATCCTTGAGCACTTCAAAGAAGTTATCGGTATCACCAGATGTATTGATGGGTTCATCGGTCACAGCCTTAATCCATTCCAGCGATTCCTGGGCCAGCTCCTCGCTGTACTTTGAGTTTATCTATAATTAGAATTAGAGAATCCATTTAGTATTATACCAATGTATATATATACTATATATATAGAGTCCACCTTTGACTGATACATGACTGCTTAGAACTTTGCGATTTGCAAGACTAAAACCGATTCGCTAATGAAATCATTGTTAATCACATATACGAGTATATATATATATTCTTTATTCTATATATTCTTGTGTTATCTGCTGCGATATCGCCAGATAACCCACCTATCGGTAATTGGCCATAAGCATACAAACACACCCACAAACACACACACATTGCTGCTACTTATTGCTCTACGGTTGTATTTCAAGTTTGGATAAGATTGCAGTTCTCGAGATGTCGGCACTCCCACAGCTACAACAAACATACATTTCATGTTACAAAATTTCTAATAATATATTATATAAATTATTCTATATGTTTTATTGATAATGTTAAAAGACATTCTCATTCATATTTGATTTATTTATATCAAAGTTATGCTAACTAAACTTAAGTGTTCTAATTATAGATCATTGTACAACACTAGTTATATGACATCTATATATGGATGCATATCTCTCTCTCTCTACAAACTGAGTGCAAGCTTAAATCAATAACCATATTTGCAAATATTGAGCTGAGATTGCTGCTGCTTTTGTTTTTGGCCATATAAGGTTTACGACAAATGCCGGCTGTATTATTTTATTTTTGCTTGTTTGCTTGGCCGTCCTTCGCACCGATTTGGCGTTTGGAGCGAGTGAGGCCCACTTGTTGAGCGTTATTGGTTGTGGGGACATTGAGTTGAACGATAGCGCCAATAAAACCGCAAACGGGTTGGCCTGAGAGAATTCGTTTTGCGTGTTGTGTTTCCATTTAACTCTGTCATCAAAAATCAGTCAACTTGTCGCAGCTGGTTGCCCGCTTAGCAATAGTTTAATTTAATTGAATTGCTGTCGCTAAATGATTTCTCAGTTTAGCAACCATTTAGCAGAAGTGCTCTCCATCTCTCACTCTCTTCCAGTGTTGCCCTCATTTGAAGCCAATTAGAATTGCAAATATAAAAGCTAAATTATTGTCTCACTTTTAGCTTTTACAGCCAAAACTAGCTTTTAAATAGCCAAAATGGCAACACTGCCGTCGAATTGTTCCTGATAGCGTACTCTATTAAAATTAATGATCTCAGAAAAAACAAATAGAATCGCTTGTCGCCAATTGAGTGGTTTTATTTTTGTTGCTTTGATTGTGGCTTCTGTTGCACTTTTGCAATTGACAAAGGGAATTGTGTGTGTTGTTTTTCCTTATCGAAGGGAAGTGCGCAGGGGAGGGGCTGCAGTTGGGGGAGTTTGGAGTGTCTGCTTTGTCTGGCGTAATGGAGGTGAATGCACTGTGTCATCAATTTTGTAACTTTCTCGCAACGGTAGTTAGCAGAAATGTTTATCAATGAGCTAAATTTATGGGCGTTAAAGCAGAGCATAAATAATCAAACTGTTGATCTGATTAAGAAGCCAATATGCAGATATATAAACAGGCCATAAAAATACAAATCATGATTTTTATGTCTTTGTCAACAGCTTGTGTTTTTTATATTCTTTTTCCCTTTTTTTTTATGAGTTTGCACTGTTCGCGTGTTGATGTCGAAATCTATTAACTGTAATTATTGATAATGCTATCGATGCTTCAAGCAGCTGACCGATTTACAGCTTCAATTAGAAGGAGAGACAGAGAGAGCGGAAGAGAGAGAGAGCGAGGCAGATTCAATCATAATCAGAATTCGAAAGCTTAAATTTCGCCATAACGGTAGAAGATTTAACAGCTAAGTCAAGCGGGTCAAGATCATTAGACACAAAGTTTTTGGCTGACGTTTAACTCGCATAGATAATGCGAAGAGCTAAGAATAGGTTCTTGGCACATTGGGTCAATTTATCATGTTCGTAAATCGTAAAACAATTAATAAAACGGATTTTGTATGACATTTCTAGAGACGATGAACATAATTCGTCGTCGATAATTATGATGATGGCAGATAAATTGACGCCCTCGAGGCGTTGTGAATAAATTTTAATTAAAGAATTTGACAGGCACACACACACACACACAAATACATATAGTATATATTTATGTGAGATTCTAGATGATATGCGACCGGCTTTATAATGTATTCAGGCACATAAATAAGAAGCCGTTAATACACCAATAAATTCCAGCTAGTTTTCACGCTTTCTGAAGCAAAAAAGAAATATGTTGTGGTCTATGCATAAATATTTATATAAATTGGAATTGGCAAACATGACTTACAACAAGCCACACGAAACCAGATACAAAAGCAAACAGTCTTCGAACTCGAATGAAAAATGGCAACGAATAAGAATTGTTGAGTTTTTTTTTGTTTTTATTTATGTATACAAATAATTTTAGCGCTATATTTAATGAGTCAGCAGCCTCCGAAGTTGGCAGTCATTTTTCAGTTTTTATTTATTCTTGTTTTAAAGCGTTACGCTTTGAGGTCGAAGCGAAATTCGACGACAGAAAAGTACAGTAAGTAATGGAGTATTGTCGCTACGTATGTGATATATTTGTATACATATATATACGTATATATATATATAGAACATTGTGGAACGTGTTGCCTTATCGAACAAAACAAAAGCGGAATTCGCTTATCAACGCGTCGGAGTAGAAAAAAATAAATAAAATCAACATTTTCACTGCTTTCTCGAGAGTCTAGGCGAAGAAACTTTGATTCCAAAAATGGTCAAAAGGCATATCAAAAACGCCGGCAGATCTACACAGAAGAAAAGCTTTCTATATAATTAGTAATATAATATATATGTATATATATGTGCTTCATTTTAGATTGTATTTTCTAGCTGTGTCACCCCGCTCCCTCGACACTGACATTGAGAAACTGATAAATGGAACGAGGGGTGATAGGGGCAGACCTCTGAGTGGGTCTGTGGGTCACTTGATGAATTAAGCACGATTACGCGCAATTACAAAACGGCGCGACAATGTCAAAATAAAAGAAGAAAAAACAAACTGCGGGAAATGTAATTATTTTTTGTTTTTCAATTTTTTTTGTGTTGATGAAGTTACTAGATGGGTTTTGACGCCTACTGCATGCATATGAATTTTGCTGTCTTTTATTTTCTGGGCCCGCACGCAATTCGCATTAGCCGGCCAAGCCTGAAAGCCTCTTCATTAGGCCCTGCTGCTGCTCTCACGAGCTTTTAGTTAAATTAAAAGTGCCATTCAACAACAGCGCAAACATACATTGCTAAAGACCTGCTTATTCCCCACCCCCCATCTGCTCCCCCTCCTATTCATAAAGAAAAGCTGCGGGCCACCAAAACCGGACTCAAGCCGCCCCCAAAAAATAAAAGAAAGAAGAAACAAATAGCGCTTGGCAGTGGTGAACAAGACGCCAACGCGGAAATGGTGAGAAGAGAGACAAGTCTCTTCTCATCTACGCCCACAAAATGCAATGGAAATTTTTAAAAATGAACCGTTAACCAAGGCTTGACGAACATAAAATACCCTTTTCAATAAAAACATGCCGGGTATATATGCGCAAACTAATGATATATAGACATTCGCTGGGAATAGAGTATAGAGTTGGATAATTGCTTGTCAGCACATCTTAAGGAGTTTTTTCATTTTATTTGGAGAATGGATTTCTTCACGCTGTTTTTCCTTATGTCTCAGTCATAAATCTAACGAATGCTGACGCAAGTTTCCGTTTCAAGAAGTGGTACGTAATGTATAAAATATTTTGTGTGTGTTTCTTTTTGCGGTTGTTGCGCTCATATTGATTGATAGCTAGAGAGAGAGAGAGAGAGAGAGGGGAAGAGCGAAAGAGCGACGCAACGGATCATTGCGTAATAAGCAACTTTGTAGGATCCCAAAAAGATGATGTCATTATTGAATGCGAACTTTGCCAATAACTCAGCAGACGATGGATAGTTAAATACTAAACTTTGTTGACGCATAGCACAGAAACAATGAGTGTGTGCCTGTGTGCGTTTGTGTGTGTGTGTGTACCTGTGGGTGTAGGTGTATGCGTGCGTCAGGTGAGCTGTTACGAACAAATGAGAGGCAAAAGCTGCGCTTGCAAGGAAAAAAAAACAACAACAAACCTATCGGTAAATTTTGACAGACATTTGCGATTATTCATTTTTGAATTGTAACGTTTCGTTTTCGATTTCGCTTTCTTTTCGATGTGTCATTTCAGCTGCTCGATGTTGATGATGACAATTGCAAAGCTCTTTGAGGCTGACCGATATTCGGCTTAAGAGCCGAATAAAAAAAGAAAAAAATCACTCAAGCTTTGAATACACCGCAAGCGAAATGAAAACGAGGTCAATTATGTGACTGATTTTTGTGGTTGGGTTTGTTTTCCTTTTGTTTTGATAAATGTCAACATGGCATAGCATAACATGCACGAAGCGTTTGCTAAAATAAAATAAAAAACTAGTAAAACAAACTACTACTCCATTATTGGGCAGCCCATAAAAAAAACTGAAAAATAGTACTCTTCTTTTGGCATTAGAGAGTTTCACCGGAAATCCAAGCAACACATTTCTGATTTATGATTAACTTGCTGTCTGACCAACACTTTTTATGGCTTATCTACGAAGTGAATGAATACCTACACAATTATGATTATTCCTATACATCCACCGCCCCGCTCCGCTCCGCACCTATTCGTACACATGGAATAGAATATGTGCAAGTACATCAAATTTATAAAACTAGTCGACAAGTTCCATTTGGTAAACTGATATCGCGCTGGTTGCGGATGTATTAATGTGACCATATCTATGTTTGTATATATAGGGGTGTATAGGTGTGTGTGTGTGTGTTCCGCTGATTACTATATGTACATATGTACATCTGTTTCTGTATGTACGTGCTAACGCTTCTATGGGTACCTATACCACCAGCAGCACAAGAAGAGCAAGAAGAAAAAGAAGACGAATGGACATTAAGCAAGGAGAGTGAGAGAGGGGGGAGAGAGGGGCAAAGAGAACCCGACTAATTAAAGAAACATGGTCAAAGCGGGGGTCGTGAAGCGCGTTTAGGGTTAGCTTAAAAGTAGAATCTGGCAAAAATAAAAAAGGGGCTGCTTTTGCTATGGTTGTTTTTGCTGTAGCGCTTTCAATAGTTGCTCGATTTTCGCTGAAATTTGAGTCGTTGCCATAAAAGTACACGAAAAATTAAAAAAAAAAACTGCCAAGCGACTCAGCTCACACAGCATACACATACATTCATAAATACGCACACCTCAGCAGTCAAATGAACAAACAATTTTTCTAAAGTTGATTCAGCGTCATGTTGTTTTTGTTTGTCCATGCCACACACACATACTTAGAACATACACTTAGAACACACACTAAGAACACACACTAAGAACACACACTAAGAACACACACACTCTTAAGCATGGCGCGCATGTGTGTGAGGAGTACGTTGTCAAAAGGTGCTATCGCTAAGTGCGTCGCTTTAGCTAAATTACGACGAGTTGTTTATTTTGTTGCTATATATGTAACGATCGAAAATATCTCATTTTCTATTAATTCAAATTTAAAATTCGTTACTACAATTCGAAAATTTTTACCTCTTATTAATTTAAATTAAAAAAGTATTTGTTGCCCAATAGTTTAAGATAGATATCATATTTCATAGAGCTCTCACATGATTCTTAGAGGGTATTTATGCTTCGGCTCGCAAAACATAACTTTCTGTTCTCCTCAAGTTTTTTTTTTTTTTTTTTTTTTTGGCAGTTAACGAAGACGTGCAGCTGGCAGGCGGCAGGCCAAGCAGAGCTCAATGACATCATCGCTCGCTTGCTCGCTCGCTTTCTCGCCAGCTCCTGCGAAGCCATTGATCGCGGCAAAAGGGCAAAGTTAAAAGGGATAGTGAAGTGAGAGAGTGCTCGAGAGTGGAAGAGCGAGAGAGAGAGAGCATGCGATGTGTGTGTCTCGTTTTGTTTTGTTTGCTCAATGCTGTAACTGTAGACATTGTTTTTGTAGTTGTCGCCCATTAGTGGACTGCACTTAATCCCCCCACCCCCTAAACGACAGACGACTGCGATATACAATTTCAATTTCACTCACGTTGGGGCTGTCACACACACACACACACAGCCAGAGAGTGCATTGCGTAATTGTTCAAGGGAATGGGGTGGGGTGGGCTGGGGATACACATAATCCCATTTTATGTATGTAAATTGCAGTAAATCAGCGTTGTTATTGTCATCAAATTATCTAAGCCAAGCGAGAGAGAGAGAGAGAGAGAGAGAGAGAGAGAGCGAGAGATAGAGGGGGAGAGCAGGAGAGAGGGAATCGCGATCCCCGAGTTGCCCTTGGCTGTCAAAAAATCGAGTTGCATTTAACAATTCACTTCAAATCCAATTGAAAGCTCAACTTGCAAGTTCGATCAATTACTTAATGAACAGTTCAAGATGCGCTATATACAAAATAAATTATACATGCTGATACTTAGATACACAAATACACACACACACATACACACATGCTTGAAGATGACTTATCAGCGCGCCTTGCAAAATGTGGAATGAGGTCATTCCTAAAACCATTTTTAGCCTGGTTTTTGCTTTCGGCGTTTCAAATGCCCAAATTAAGTCAATGCAACAGTTTAACAAAACACACACACACATTCACATACACACATACATTCAACAATATATATTTTTTTGGCAAGAAATTTGGTTACCTTACGCTGCGCTTCGGCGGCAAAGCCACTCTTTGGAGCACGATTCGACGACATGTTAATGTTTGTTGTTGGGCTGTAAACGGGTTTGCAGGGTGCGTAGCGTTTGGTCAGAAATAGCTGCTAACTTATCGATGCACTCTGGCGGCCAATGGAATGTTTATCACAAATTCGGTAGGTTTTTGTAGAGTACGCAGCGAACCTATAAAAAAGCACGTCCGCTCACAACAAATACTAAATGCGCTGTGAACGGTGCAGATAACCAGCAATAATAAGGAAAACTTTACAGAGAGCGTCGTTCTGTTAAGTTGAATGTTAACTGGCATGAGAGATATTAACAGTGAGCGTGACTTTGGCGCTGTCAACGTCGGCAAGCACGGCTGAAGCTTTAATATTTGCATCAAATTGATGAAAATTAAGTACGACATTTCATACTATATTAATTGATAAAAAGTTTAGTAACGTGTACCATTCATTGGTACAATCGTACCAATTTTGGCAACAGTGTCGTCAAGTCAAAGCTTTTACTCTCTGGGTAACATGAGCCGCTCTCAAAAGTTCTCTCTCTGTGTTCGCGTGCAAAAGCTTAAACTCAGCTGCTGCTGCTGTTGATGATGACATAATGCTTATGTTTAACGGATGTTTGAAAAATTGTTTATACGTGTGGCAATGAAAATAGAGAGAGATATGAAATCCCCCCTCTGCGTATGATTAGTAATAACAGTTCATGCCTTATCCTAATCGCAGCATTCCAAACATGAACATGTCATTCACTGTTATTGCGTACTTTCAGCGGAAAAATAGCATAACTAGATTAAAGCGTGCTTTTGTCTTAGTTTTGTTTGCCTTGAGAATTAGTTACATTTTATTCACATAAATATATATATTTGTTATGCAATTGTTTTTTTTTTATAGTTGTGTTTTTCATTTAGTTGCGTTCAAGATACGAAGAGAATTTCATTAGTTTTTCAGTGTTTAATATGTTTTTTTTGTGTGTTTGGTTTTTGTTTTTAATGTGTGTTTTAAATAAATAAAGGGGAATTGCTTTTTTATAATTTTGTTGTTGTTGTTGCTTTGTGTGATACATACATATATTATCGTAATATTAAATATACATAGTTCTAAGAATATTTGATTTTTAATTATTTAGTTTCATTTTGTTTTTTTGTTTTAACTGCAGCAAGACAATTTTTAATGGGAATCATACAATTAATAAACATTTGAAGTTTGTCTTTTGATTATATCGCCATCAGGTTTTTAACATAGGAAAGCATTTCATTTAACTAGACAATGTGTATTATATTAGTTTTCGCATAGAGATATTGGATTTTTATTTATTTTTATTTTTTTTATATTTATTATTCTACTATTATTAAGGGGATTCAATGTTTTTATTTGCTCTTCATGCATGTTAAGGCCCTCGCGCTCAAGTACAATCGGGTGTGCCACACACACACAACCACCACACTCTCTCTGCTAGTGTGTGTGTGTGTGTGTATATATTTATCTGTGTATATTGCATTATATTGAAATTTAATGTTCTCTTATATTTTTCTTCTCTGATTTTTACAATTCATTTTGGATAGTGTGTGGGGTTGACGCATGCTAAATAATTTTCTAGATAAAATTAAAAAATAATCATAATTTATTTTGCACGTGGATAAATACAAATTACAAATATTGATGTGTATATATATATATATTTATAAAAAATAATTACGAAAAAAATATATATATAGATTGACGCAAAAATAATATACAGAGAGAGAGAACATTACTTGTAGTACAATTAAAAAAATGACATCAGCGTAATCCGAATTGACAGACGACTCTTAAAAGTCCCTTTCTTCATTTGTATATCCTAGGTGTGTGTGTGTGTATAAGCACTGATATCTGATATCTGTGTGTATGTTTGTGTACTTTTATATAGGGGGACTATTACAATTTCAGCTCGAATCGAATTTTGGACATAGGACATATATAGTATCAGCAAATAATTTCAGACAAATTCATTTTTTTTTTTGTTTTTAATAAATAATACCTCACGATTCGTTGGCTCAACGTATTTAAACTTAACTTATAAAACAACTGTGCAAAAGATTGGGCAAATAAACACAAGATTTGGAGCAGGCGATGGCGACTCTCCCAGCAGTGATTTCGGTGTGGACCCGGTCTAAATATAATGGGTATTATGTATATATATGCACATACCGCGTCTTCAAATTTTGCGTGGGATGTTGTATTAGCGATAATCCCTTTTCATTTCGTTTTAGTTTTTGCTTTTTCGCTTGTTTTTCTTGTGGGTCCCATTGACGCACATTCTTCATACTCGCAAATATATCTTCTTTTTTTGTTGTTGTTATATTTTGCTTTTCATTCATTACTAGTAGTTCTTCTATATATATAATTTTCAATTATATATGCTCCGTCGTCTGGTTCAAGTTAGACTCGTTTAATCGAAATAATTGCAAAAACTTTTGAAGCGATTTTCTTTGCTAGCAATATATAAACACACACAATAAATCGTAATTAAATTAGATCGAACTATTTTGATATCGAATTGCTTTGCATTAATTAAACGCGACGTTCCAAAATTGCCAAAAAATTTCACCATCATCATCATCATTATCAATATTATCAATCATTTCTCTTTTAGTTCTGTCTTAGTTCTTAACTAATATTACATGCACGCGTTTTTCCATCATATCTTTATTATTTTTTATCTCTTGCAGCTTTGCCTCCTTGATCATCATAATCCGTACGTTTAGTTTATATATATATATATATATATATAAATATATGTATATATAATAAAATGTATATAGTTGTTATAAGCTTTTTGTTTTCCTGTTTGTTAGTGTATCTCTAGTAACCATAATTTGTTGCTTTCTTTTTATCTCTGCACACGGAAATATTCCAACCACACATCTCGCTTTTGCCTGGATGGATGGATCCTAACTCAAATTTATAAATAAATACTCCACACACATTTAGCTATATATCAGTTTTTTGTTTTTGTTTTTCTCTTTTGTTTTCTTCTTTTTTTTAGATAGTTGTCGAAAACAATCTGGTTTGGTTTCCACTTCCAACGGATTCACAGCAACGATATATCTAGATAAAAATGTGAATGATATCATAAATAATTATATTCCACGATAAGTATATATATAATTAGAGTACCTTTATTCTCGTGACTATCAGCAGTGACTAGCGTGTTGGTTGCCGCTGTGCCCATTGTCAGCAAGCTGTTATTGTTGTTTATATTATTGTTAATGTTGATGTGTTGTAGTTGTTGGTGTTGTAGATGATCTTGTGACTCAATGCTTAGATCGATGAGCTGTGTAACATCAGCCGGAGTCACTGCATCCTGCAGCAGATTGATGTCGCTGCAATTGTTCACATAATGGTTACACATAACCACATAACAAATTAGTTGCATTCACTTACTTCTTATTGTTTCCGTTCTCAATATGACCATTGCCATTAGCCACGGCTGTTGCTGGTGCAGTTGCTGCAACTGTTGCCGGCATTGTTTCCACATGCAGCTTACCATTGCTTACCTCGAATTGGTGCAAGTTCTTGGCATTCTCATCGATAATCATATTGGAGAAGCTATTTATCAGCGAGTTCTCCTTGTCCAGCACCGATTGCTCATACGTTGTCTGATGGTTGACTGTTGGCTCCATCGCCGTCACCGTCGTCGTTGTGGACGACTCCACCGCCACCAAAGTGGTCGGTGGCTCTGTGGGTGGTGCGACGGCATCTGTGCTGCTGCTGCTTGGTGAGCCATCAGCTGAGTTGTTGCTGCTGCTGCTGTTCGTATCGTTCTCTTTGGGCGCAGACACAGTCTTCGCATCAGCGGAATCCTTTAAAGCAAAATAACAACAATTTAGTTTATAGTTAGAGGGGAGGAGCAGTTGCTACTACCTTGGCGGGCGTGGCAGCAGCAGCGCCGCCTTTGCGTGTGCGCGACATGATTGCCTCGACGCGTTTGCGTCGCTCCTCGCGCTCTTTCTCCTCGCGCTTGAGACGCTCGGCGACTTCGATGCGCTGCTTCTCAGCCTCCTCCTTGGCCTTCTTTTCGGCCTCCTCGCGCTCGATGCGCTGACGTTCCTCATCCTCGCGCCGACGCTGCTCCTCCTCCTCGCGTTGCTCGGCTTCCTGATTGAATATGAATACAAGCGGAATGATTCAACTTGTTTCATCATGAACAACAGTCACTTTTCAAGTACTCACCTCGATGGCCTTGCGGAGACGCTCCTCCTCGCCACGACGCTGCTCCTCGGCGAGGCGTGTCGACTCCTCCTCGAAGAGTCGCTGTCTCTCGGCCTCCTCCTCCTGGGCCTTGAGCTCAGCGAGACGCTCGGCCTCGAGTCGTTGGCGCTCCAATTCCGCCTGTCGTTCGGCCTCCTCGCGGGCCAGACGTCGTCGTTCGGCTAATGCCGCCTTTGCCTGCTCCTCAGTCGTTATCTTTCTGGCTATCATCGATGCGGTCATCAGATCGCTGCCCACATCCACATTCAGATTTGCCACAGCTGCCACTGGTGGAGTCAGCTCGCGCACCTCCGAGTTCTCCTTGCTGCCATTGCGGGATGTCTTCTTTTGGGCAATTGGCTCCTGTGGCTGCGTCGGCTTCTCATTGCCCTCGTCCGCCTTCTCCTCGACGTTGACAGAGGCAATCATGGGCTCCTCTCTTGGTGCCACCGGCTCCACAACTTGAGCAGCTGCCTCGGGCTGTGCTTCAACTTGCATCAACTGCTGCTGCTGCTGCTCAATTTGCTCCGTTTTGACTGTGTTCAGCGCCTCCTTTTCCGCCTTGCTAACACTGACGGGCACTGCTGGAGCTTCAGCAGGCACAGAAACTACAGCAGGCACTTCTGCGGCCAGCTCTACGGGCTCCTTGGCCACACCATTAGCCGGGTGCTCGGGTGCGGGTGCTGCAGCTGCTGGAGCAGTTGTCACTGTTGCCGTGGTGGCACTCGTGGTGACAATCATAGATGAGCTCATCGGTGCGGCTGCTTTGATTGTTGACTCCTTGGTGCGTCGATTAATGCGCTCCATGCTGTCGGTGCGACTGGGCTGTGTCTTCGAAGCGGATGCAGACTTTGGCGGTAATGTTTCCTGCTTAAAGATTCAAAAATTCAACTTACAAGGATATTCAATTTAATTTCTCTCTCTCCGGCTACAAACCCGCTTTGATGGCGTCTTCTTTTCGGCGCTGTGCATGCGCGATGAACTGGAGGTCACGATCATTGAGGTGGACATGAGGTTCGGAGTTCGTTTGGGTGTCGTTTGTGCTGTAGACGTGGTTGTTGGCGAGGCCCCATTGTTTGTTGTCTTCAACGGCGGCTTATTGTCCCTCTTCAGTTTGTTGATCTCTGACAAATGAATGCAATGATGAATGAAATTGCCAGCGATTCATTGAATAAGTTAATAAATGCTTACCCTCCAAGGACATGCCGGTGCCGGCTATGCTGGCTGGGCGTGGTTTACGTGGCGCCGTCTGCGGGCGCCTGGGCACCAGTCCACCACCCGATGTGGACAATGTTGTGGATGTGGACATTGCGCTGCCGGGTCGCGAACCGCTCAGATGTCCGCCATGTCCGCCGGGTGTCACATTGCCGGAACGCGAGCCTAAACCAATGAAGGAAAACAACACACGCATTCCAAAAGTATTAGCAAACAAATCAATTCAATTGCAAACTGACTCAGTTCATATTATATAGTATGGAATAGGTGAGCATTAAATAATAATTATAATTATGTAAAATATTTTTTGGGGATTTGTGACCGTCACCACAGAGTTTCGTCATTAAAACAAAGATACACAGCAGAAGACAATTATAAAACAAAAACAATACCTGGAGAATTAAACAAAGAACCAAACAAATACGCTAGATACAAATACAAATACACCAAGAAAAAAAGAGACACAAAGCATTAACGAAGGTAATCTCTATGTGGGTGTAAGTGTTGTGTGTGCGTGTGTGTGTGTTGGGGTTGAGTGAGTGTGGGCAGCAACATTTGTGTGATGATAGAACTAGAGTTATAAGGTCAAAAGTGGAGCAGCAAATTGAAAACATACGAAACAAACATACAGATGGCAGTGCTCAGCACACAATATGCACCCACAATATGCAACTCATTTTCCAATTACTTTTTTTTTCATATGTGATATAGACTACAATATGTATATTGTTGCTCAGATGAACGCATGATTAGAGCTGTAAACACTAACGTTAACTGTTTAAATTTGGCGCCCTGCGCCGAATGTTATTTGAATTGAATTTTAATTACATTTAACATAACATGCAACAGCGGCCAGCGTTAACAGTGCCCTCTCTCACTCTCTATTTAAAAAGGGCGCTTGCTGATCTGCCGGCTGTTGTTGGCAGGCTTAGCCTTTGCCGCAAATAAACATTATAATGTTATGTAAATAACATTGTGTGTTATTTTAACAGTATAAGAGTTATGTTTACAGATCTAATTGAAGCCCAATTTGCGAATGGTCTTGCTTCGTATGTCTTCCTACAATAACTAAATTCATAAAACGCTCTATGTTTGTGTATGTGTGTGTGTGAAGTTGGCCAATATCTGAGTGTGTGTGTGTTTGTGTAAGGAAAAACCCCAAGTACAATTTAAATGGCGAATTTGAAGAGAAAAGTGGAATGGACTCAATAATGCTAGCCACCGCAGTAAGAATTAGATTTAGAGGATAGTTGTTTGTTATGTGTTGTTCAGTGTTATGTTGTGTTTGTTGTTGGTTTATGTTTTGTTTTGTTTTGTTTTTTTATCGCACACACCTGCATTCACTAACAAACTAGAAGAGTTCATGAGCAACAATGAGTTTGGATCGAGGTCGTGATAACGGTGGTGGTAGTGGTGTTGTTGGTAGTAGTTAGGGTTAGTAATAGCTGAAGTAGAAATCGCATATTGTTGTTGCTGGGCACGCCTGTTGTTGTTGTTGCTGTTGTTGGATGAGGAGGCAAATGATGATTGAAGATATTTTTTAGTTGCAGCTGTTTGCAAGCCAAGATTTGACTGCCGTTGTTGTTGTTGTTGTGGATTGTGGTTGTTGTTGTGCGACCATGTAGTATAGCTAATCTGTGTCATGCTCTTACTGCTGTCACGCTGCTGACCGCCACTGCTGCCCAAGGGCCGGAAACTGGTCGAGATGCCACCGCCCAACGAATATTTGCCACGTTCTCGCTGCCCGCTGCCAGCTGCCACCAGATGGGTCATGCTACGCGACATGGCGCCCACAGCGCTGGATGTGCCACTAGCGCCAGCAGAGCCGGCACGGCGCTGTCCGGCGCGAGCGCCATGTGGCGTACGACGAGTACCACCCAGTGAAGCCGTCTCGTCCAACATTTCCAGTTCGCTTTCGCGACGCTCCCGCTCCAGAATGGCACGAACATGCTCGCCATTGCGTCGAATTGGCTGCGCCAGCTGATCCAAGCGATTCATGGAATAGGCGCGTCCTGAATGAGGTGGTCGTTGTTGTTGGTATTGTTGTTGTTGTTGATATGTAAAGTGGAGAAGTGGTTCAAGAAAGTGTTCATGAATCAGAGAGTATCAGAATCATTTGATTGTTGTTGTTTTTCTTGTGGTTGGTGGTGGTGGTGCTTGTGGTTCCTTATATGGCTATATAAATATATATAGCTATATTCATATATATACAGAAGACGTCACACTAAATGAGCACAAGGATTGCAACAGACAGTGTGTGTGTGTGTGTGTTTGAGGATGGGGTTTAGGGTTTAGGTTAGTGTGTGTGTGTGTGTGGTGCGTGTGTGTGTGGGAAGGTGCTGATCCGGGGGCAGGGAGCTGCACAGCTTAGAAAGCATCAAAAGCAAGACGAAAATACATAAATCCGCCCCAAATTGGAAGACTCTCATTTTGGTCAGTCGCAGTGGTGTTGTTCATGTTGTTGTTGTGGGTTCAGAAGAGTGGGTCACCTACAAATGATCCTACTAATAACTAAACTTTGATGAATAATGGATGAGCATGATGTAGATGTAGTTGTTGATGATGATGATGAAAACACATCGCATGAGTATGAAGATGATTGAAGTTTCTCTCGCTGAGCTGTAGAAGCTGGTTAGGATTGGATTTGTTTTTGGGGCGGGGTGTGGGAGGTGAGACGATCTTACCTGGTGTTCGGGGCGTGGTGCTCAGTGAGCTGCGCGAACCGTAGTGCCCGTCTCGAGGGCTGGGTATTGTCGGCATGAGATCCGTTTTCCTGCGGTAAACGCTTCGGAACATCATGTTCTGTTGTGTTGTTGTGTCAACGATATCTTCTGCAATTGTGTTTTGGGATTTTTGGTTTTTGTTTTTTGTTTTTGTTTTCTTGTTGATTTTTGGACTGGGACTGAACTCAGTTATATAGATAGAAAAGAAATAAATACTAATGCAAAATGTATCATCGAGTAACCAAAAGCAAAGGCTTAAAGCAATTAACCATGCCAATATAGTAGTAAAAGTAGAGAAATATAGCAGAGCTACTAAAATTTGGGCAATAAATAAAACTTAAAGGGCCGCCATTTTGCTAAGGGGGCTGGGGGTAATTAATACTTAGTGCAAGGCAGATTTAAGGGCTGTACAAATCCTAAATTACGGGAGCATTATGCGTAGATTTGTAGATAATTTTATTAGTGGTATTCCTGCTAAAGCACTGAATGCCGCTAATACTATCATCAGTCAAAACCAAGTTTAGAACAAACGATAAATTTCTATTAGTATAGCAATCGCAAGCTAACGATAATATATGCATCGATAATTATCGATAACAGCAAAAGTTAACTGTTTAGGTCGACTGGCGGGAATTATTCATAAGATACAATTAATAGATCATGCAAAACATGGGCGCATGCCGGTTAGCAGTTTCTCAGAGAGCTATTTAGAAGTTAGATGGCAACAAACAAACAAAAAAAAAAGTACAAAACGGGAACAATACGAGAAGTTGAAGAAGAGTAGAGTAGAGAAGAGGAACCCTCACCCTTACGATATGAGTTATTGTTGTGGCTTGCAGTTGCTGTTGTTGTTGGTATATTTGGTCTGTGCGCTGTTGTTGTTGTTGGTGTGGAAGTCAGTTTTTGGGCGTTGGTTTTTATAATGGACGCTGGCCCATCGATATTTATATCGCCACCGGCTATCGAAAGCGAAAATCGCTTGGGCGGCTCATCATTGGAATAGCCCCAATTGAACACCTCGTACATGGACGAAGACTTGCGGCGATGATCTGTGTATGGTTGTAATATATGGGCAAATTTGTACAGTTTGAGAGAGAGATAGAGAAATTTAAACAAAAATTAAACAGGCAAAGTGAATTTGGGGGTTTTTTTTTTTTGTTTGGTATTAGCATTCACAGGTGATTGTATATAAATCATATATATATATATTGATATTGCAAATCAAATAAATACAAGTGTTGTGTCAAAATCAACAACAGTTCACAGTTACGTTGAGGGGGGTCGGGGCGAGGAAGTGTGTGTGTGTGTGGTAGGTTTGGAGGGTAGGGTACATATAGAGTTTGTCACGTAACAGTTTTGTAAATTACGAGTACATTTGTCTAGAGTAAGTAATACACTAACTGCAAAAATAAATAGTTAAGATTATGTGTATATCTATAGTGTTTTCGTGTGTGTTGTGTTCTGTGTGTGAGTTGTTTTGTGGCTGTTCGACCGGAAGTGGGTGGATTATATATAGAGTGCTACAAGTGCTACACCACTCACCATCGTGTCTGTCCGTGGATGAGGAAGTACGCTTCTTAGCACCACCATCGGCTAGTTCACGCTCGGAACTGCGACGTGAGAGCGAGCCACCCGCCACGTTCGATATAGATGTTGAACTATTAAAGACAGAAGAGAATGATAATTAGGTTTCTTTGACGTCAGATTAAGAGCTGCTTTCACTCACCGTCGCTGGCTCCAAAAGGTGCTGGGCGATACCAGGCCATAATCCGCCGGTACATCCAACAGACGTGGCGTTGACGAGCCAAAAGCGAACGGAGTTGTGTTTCTATCACGTTTCTTTGTCTCTATTCGTGAATCGCGCTCCTATTTGGCATAAGAGTAGTTGAAATATTGGAGTCTAGTTTAGAATATGTTGGCACTTACAGTATTCTTTTTGAGTATGTACTCGCGTCGCTCCTTCTCGGCCTCGATAATGGCCCGCTTGCGCTCCTCGACGAGATGACGCTTCTCTGTGTCCCGGACACGTATCTCATCGATGCGCCGGCGACGCTCCTCCTCCTTTTGTTCGCGATATTTTTGCGCCGCCTCGGCCTGGGCGCGCAGCTCCTCGATTTTACGCTGTCGCTCCTCGTTCTGGCGATCACGCGCATATTTGATTTTCTCCTCGCGATCTCTGGACACTGTGCCGAAAAGCCGAATGATGGACAAGTATTAGAATTGATATATGAATATGGCGGGGGAGAGTTGCTTAAATCAAATATATTTATATATATATATAAATATACATATTCCATAAGTTTTCAATCGTTGGCAGTTACCATTTTGCTACCTGTGGCGGATAAATCGATAAAGCTTCAGCTTTAGACATTCTCCACAAAGTTGCTTTTTTTGGCATTTGCCGGCGACTTTTACAGCGACTGACGTCATCGACACTGTGTGCTTGCTTTTTAGTTTGTTTGTATGTGGGTCAATTGACAACAATAACTACAATCACAATACACACAAACACACACACAGGTTGTGTGTGCGATGAGCAAATATGGCAAAAAGAAAATGTAAGCGCACATTATTATTAAAATGACATTGGGGCCGTTGTCCATGCAAAAATATAAAAATAAAAGCAATAAAAAATGCAAAGCAAAAAAAAGAAAAGTAAAATCGCTAGTCAAATGCTGGTCAAAAGTTGAGTAAGTTGGTCAACTAAGTTTTGGTTTTTACGCCTTCGTTATAATCAGGAATCGGACAGTTCGATAGTGCGCAACATTATCGCTGAAAACTATTTATGGAAAATGTAATGACGTAATTGGAATGCAAATGCCGGAATAAATAGTCTGTCATAAATAACTATAACTTGCTAAAATTGATGACTGAATCATTGCCAAGGCCTGTTTTCATTTACTTTTTTCTCATATAGCACCTCTTTGTGAATTAATGCAAATGTCATAAATTGTGGGTACATTATTATTGTATATATTCCAGTATTCCACAGCTGCATAGCAAAATGTGTTTCTAGATAAGGCTGAGCTTATCAGTCGCTGTTGGTAATGTGATGATCATGATCAGCATTTTGACAACAACAGGCACACAGGCAGGTGACTGAAGCAGACAAAATGGGAGTCTCTTCGATACTAACTTTGAGCATTGACAGATGCGTCATTTTATCCATTGTGCCCTTGCGGCTCAACGCCCACAGCTGCAGAATGCTGCATTCTGTGTGGGTTTTTAGGTTGGAGCAGCTCCGTCGTCTGCTTAAGCACAAAAATGTTGTGGATGCCTTGAAAACTACACACATACTGCATATTTGTGTGTTATACTCTGGCAGTGGGTATTACAGTTTGAAGAGGCAGTTTGTAACGCTTTGTATATGGACAGTTAAGGATATAAATACATATCTATTAAATTGATACAAATCAGCTAAGTGCTTACTAATATTTGTAATTTGAAAGTTTATAAAACTAAAGCAATAGTTCCAAATAATATATATGTATTTAAATAGTTTAATTTTTTAGATATGACTTAACTGACCAATTACGAGTGTTAAAAAATTTTATAAAATATGAAAACCTTTTTCTATGCAGTTTGCTTATAAGAAACAGCTAACAGAAAACTATTCCTCATTGCCACAATTATGCAAAGGGTATTCAAGAGTTTGGTAAGCTCGAAAAAACCTCTCCACTGTTTTGTAAGAGCATGCAATAGTCGTCTGAGGCAATTTATGTAACACACACAAGCAAGCACACTCACACACACACACATACTGATGACGACGACTACATGCATAATAAAAAGAATTGGAAATAATAATAGTACTAAATAGAACGCATTTTCTTACCTTTTCGTTCGGCGCTCCCCTCTCGGCTAACGGGTCGTTTGGGTATGTTTTCCACTGAAAGTAAATAAAAAGAGTACAAAATCATATTATAAACACATTTCGAGTTGTTTTTACTATGTTTTCGTTTCGTAAGAAATAAAGTGTAAACGTGCTGGCTGCTGCCTGCTGCTGTAAAGAGTTGTTTTTCACAAATTTTCACTTTTTTTTATTCACACACACTCACTTGAAGGAGTCCAAAACGAAATGTATATTAATAATTAAGAAAAAAGAAAAACAGAGAAAAGAAAATCAATCGGCTTCTGTTTTGCACTTGCAGGGCAAGGAAAAAAAACACGCATTTGATAAGTCGACGAGCAGAGCGACGGGTGCGCTGGCAGAGAGGGAGAGTAAAAGAGAGAGGGGACGACGGCGGACAAACACACACAAACAAATGTTCGGCTGCAGCGCAGCTGCTGCTGCTGCGGCCTCACGATGACTGTGAAACAGCAGTGACGACGACGACGGCAGCAGCAGCAGCAAAAAATGTTTTCCTCTGGAAACTTTGAACGAAATTTATTTATAACTCAAAAACTCCGGTTGACGTTTTGATGGGGCTGGGGGGAGGGGGGACAAAATAGCATGCACACACACAAAAAAACACACGGGGGCAAATTTCAACCATATAAAGCGAAACACTTCTTTTTTTCACATCGTTCGCTTTTTTGAGTGAGTCGTCGTCGCAGTCGCCGTCGTTTCGTTTGCTGCTCAGTCGACCGACCAATCATTTTTGTGGCTTGTTAAAGTCTTTGTTACACGTATTGATGGCTTGTTTTCTTGTTTTTTTGTACTTGTCATCGACGCGCACGTTTTGTAGTTGAATTTGTTAGGCCGTAACACGGTTTTAATGCATACCTGCTGGGTTATTCGAATAATTTTCTTGCTGGCCCTCAAGACTCGCCATATTCTCACTTAATATTTTTCTACATCTACACTTATCGATACTGAGTATACAACTATCAAGCGAAACGATGACAACTACTCGATTAGAGTCTAGTCGATTTTTGCTTTGCTCACAGAGTTGCTATTTTGATAGGTGCGGCAAACAAAAAGCTGACTGCTATGAAACTCGATGATAATTATGTGCTAAATAATACCAGACTCACTGCCGCGTTTTATTTTGTTTGTGAGTTGAAATTTGTATAGATTGTATTAAAAGTAAAATGCCAGCAGAACCTGAAACAGTTGTGGCGGACAAACGCAACAATTTGCCATGGATTGAGAAATATCGACCCGTGAAATTTGAGGAAATTGTTGGCAATGAAGACACCGTTGCCCGCCTGTCGGTTTTTTCAACCCAAGGAAATTCACCCAACATTATCATAGCCGTAATTTAATCAAGGAATCGCTAAGGGTTGAAATATTAATAATGAGGTGTATTTACAGGGACCACCTGGCGTGGGCAAGACAACAACGATACAGTGCCTGGCACGCATTCTGCTCGGCGACAGCTATAAAGATGCCGTGCTCGAGTTGAATGCATCCAACGAACGTGGAATTGATGTCGTTAGGAATAAGATAAAAATGTTCGCACAGCAAAAGGTGACATTGCCACGCGGACGCCATAAGATTGTTATACTGGATGAGGCGGACAGCATGACGGAGGGGGCACAGCAATCATTGCGACGCACCATGGAAATCTATTCGAATACGACGCGTTTTGCGCTCGCCTGCAACACCAGCGAAAAGATTATAGAACCCATCCAATCCCGTTGTGCCATGCTGCGATTCACAAAACTCTCCGATGCCCAGGTGCTGGCCAAACTGATTGAGGTGTGCCAGCTGGAGAAGCTCAAGTACGATGAGGATGGCCTGGAGGCGATTGTGTTCACCGCCCAAGGTGATATGCGTCAGGGTCTCAATAATCTACAGTCGACGGCACAAGGATTTGGCGACATAACGGGCACAAACGTATTTAAGGTCTGTGATGAGCCGCATCCGATGCTGTTGCAGGATATGTTGCAGCATTGTGCAGCCAACGATATACACAAGGCGTACAAGATATTGGCAAAGCTGTGGCGCTTGGGTTATGCACCCGAGGACATCATTGGCAACATATTTCGTGTCTGCAAACGTTTGAATGTGGATGAGCAATTGAAATTGAATTTTATACGAGAGATTGGCATTACGCACATGAAGATTGTCGATGGTTGCAACTCCCTGTTGCAACTGACCAGCTTGCTGGCGCGTCTGTGCATCGTGGCTGAGTCGAATTAGCCATCATATTTTCCAAAAAGTAACCTTTTTAATTTTAAGCCTCAACTTGTTGAATAAACACAAAACTTGAATTCGATTTCGATAACAATTGCTTAAGTATCGTTTAAAATTACCAATTGAAGTCGTCGTTCAATCGAATAATCGAAATGTAACCATGGCGATATGTCGATAATGTTTAACAATGATCGATTATGTCGATAGCACCGTGTGTACTTCTAGTTGAATTCTTTTCGCGAACGGTCCAACAATAAAATAATAGAAATTAGGACAAAACAACGCACAAAAAAAATGCAAATGCAAACATACAAATTGGTTGTTGTTGGCGGTGGTGGCGTTGGCAAATCCGCAATAACGATACAATTCATACAGGTGAGAGAGAGAGAGAGTGTGCCCAGGAATCTAGTTGGAGCTGGTGACGTCGTCGTCGTTGTCGTCGCCAGTGCTGTCGCCGTGATTTTGAAGTTGACAATAACAGTGACTTTTCATCGCTGACACATAGCAGCGAATGCGAAACGTTGCTCATCACTGCCCACAAAAAAAAAAATAAAAAAACAGAGGGAGGGGCGCGGCCGCAACGTAACAAGTGGGCTGAACCCGTGTTTTTTTTTTGGCAAAAGCAACAAAAAGCGAGCGACTTTATTTGGCAATATTCGTGCTACATATTTTCAAACATAGATCATCTTCAACAACGGCAACAAAAAGAAAAAGAAAACGAAGCGAAATTCGACTTGAGAAATATTTAATTTAAAAGAGCACTAGAGAAAAGTGTTGGGAGCGGCTTAAAATGAAGTAACGATTAGCCATTTATGTATGAGTGTGTGTGTGTGAGGTCAATTTATGTTAACCCCTCCCCACCCGCTCGTCATGGTCACGACCACGACCACGACGGTCTCTCTTTGGCCATCGTCTCCTTCACTATTTATTTTTAGTTATTTGCGTCATCTCCATCTTCTCATGCCACATCCAATCATATGTATATTTACATACACACACACACACACATGCACGCTCACGAATATAGTTTGTATATGCATACACACACACACACTCAGTCACACACACAAAGATTTTCCTCTAGTTTTGTTTTCACTTGATGATAAAAGTGGCATCTGCGTGTGTAAACAAATCAAAAGTGCTACCAAAAAAATAGAAAGAAAAAACTATAATGAGGAAAAAACAAAAACAATTAATGAATACTTGATTTTTGCTACTTGAAATTTTACAGAGCTATTTCGTCACAGACTATGATCCCACCATCGAGGATTCGTATACCAAACAATGTGTCATAGACGATGTGCCAGCCAAATTGGATAGTGAGTGAAATGGCCGACTCTTCAATTACCTTACTCTCTTCGCTCATTATTAAAATCGTTTCCATTTCCATTGCAGTACTGGATACGGCTGGCCAGGAGGAGTTCAGCGCTATGCGGGAGCAATATATGCGCTCAGGCGAGGGATTTTTATTGGTCTTCTCGCTGAACGATCATTCCAGTTTCGATGAAATCACAAAGTTTCAACGGCAAATATTGCGTGTGAAGGATCGCGATGAGTTCCCCATGCTGATGGTGGGCAACAAGTGCGATTTGGAGCATCAGCGTCAGGTGTCGCTGGAGGAGGCACAAAATACGAGCAGAAATCTCCTGATACCCTATATTGAGTGCAGTGCCAAGCTGCGTGTCAATGTCGATCAGGCGTTCCACGAACTGGTGCGTATTGTCCGCAAATTTCAAATAGCCGAGCGGCCCTATTTCGAGGAGGGCTACAAGAAGAAAGGCAAGAGGAAGTGTTGCCTAATGTAAGCAACAGTTGCGAATCTCCAACAACACCAACAACATCAACATCAACAAAAAAATCAACGACAACAAGAACAAGAATAACAACATGAATGTAACGAGTATAACACCAAATTTTAAATTAATTTATCGAGCGTCGACTGAGCTATATATAAATATATATATATATATGCATACATATGTAGTTTCCTCCGATTAACCAGTAATCAGACCCAGATACCCGATAAAACGAAGTGCATTTTATATACCCGGCTGCCCGTCTGCCTGTCTGCCCAGTGGCGTATGTCAACGTATCAAATTTAATATAATCTCGCGTCACTTAACTATACTAAAACAACATACTAAGAACAGAACAAATGAAATCAAAATTATCAACGCAACAGAAAATGTCCTTGCGTCCACATCCAGACAGCAAAAATTCACACACACAAACATAAATACATTTATAAATACATATATACACATTTATATATACATACATACACACACCTATATATATATATATATATATATTGTGTACATATATATATATATGTATATTTTTGTAATATTATTTGTTGATCGCATGGCAACAATTAAGGACAAGAAACAATGTTTTTATTATTATATTATGGTTAGAAATTGAAGTGAAATTTTTGTGTGGAAAAAAAGAAGAAAAAAGAAAAACGCCATTTGTTTATATGCGACTATTAATGCAATAATTGAGCCAAGTTTTGAAATGTTTGTTTTGATTAAGCCAAAATGTAATGTGTTATTGTAATTTGTATTGTTATTTACTACTAATATATTGCATATTCGCATACGTCTATATATATATTTATATATATATATATATATGTATACACACATATATAATGCCTAAAATTCGATTTTGTTCAGCGTAATCAAAGATTGTGTTGTGTTTAAATAACAAATTGAGTGCCTCGTTCTCGTTGCATTTAGTCATCGCATTGATAACAAAAAAAATAACAAATAACTGCAAAAAACTGCAAGCAAAGCAAAACAATAACAAATACAATTTCAATTGTTCTTTGTTATTATATTAGTAATGATATTGATAAAATGAACATCAAAACGATAAAAAATACAAATAAAACGCACAATACAATAATAATTGTAAACCTCTTAAAAAATTACTCTATGTTTTTTATACAAAATTATGTATTTTTACATCATAATTTTTTTTTATCATATGTGTAAATGAATTTATGTGGAGCGTGTTTGTATTATGTATTCTTGTTTAACTCTACACTGCTTAATTAAACGAACCTTTTTTAATTTATACCATATATTTATATATATATATATATATATTTAATACAAAATATATGCGCAATTCTAATAAATACATAAAAATCACAAATGCTTCCAAAATTTTCAACGAACATTTCATTTGATTAACGAGCTGGACCAACTACAAATCAAATGGAATCTGAAATCTTGTTTGGTATATAATTAATTCATCAAATTCAGCCAGTAATCTTGTAAATAATATTGAACTTTGAATGTAGAATTATTCAAGAGCTTGAAGCATCGAAAAAAAACCCTGGTTTTTGAAAATCTGACCACTTTTGATAAAGTAACAGCAATAAACCATTTCAAGCAGTCCCTATGAGCTTTTGAGGGTCCAATTTGACTTTCGAGCCGTGAGTGAGTTTCAAAATCGGTTCAGTTTTGACAAAGTTATGAAAATTTAACACGGTTTCCAAGGCAATTCAAGAATTTAAGCCTGAAACGCATAATTTGATTTTTTGGAATATAATTTCGACATGAATCTTAATGAATCTTGATATTAAAGTAAGATTTTAATTTGTTAGACAGTGGGCGGTGCTAGCAATGTGTTCCATTTGTTGTCGGTCTGTGCACAGCATCCCTAGAAGTGCAAAATTAATTGGACAGCCTGCGAGGCAATAGGACATTTTGGATGGGTATAAAAGCGGCGACGACTGTTGGATAACTTATAGAACGCAAAATGAATCCGAAGAGTGAAGTCCTCATTGCTGCAGTGCTCTTCTTCCTGCTGGCCTGTGTGGAGTGTCAAGTGAGTAGAAATGTGGAGCAATTGCTGATTTTGGGGGAATCTTCAATAATTCGCACACTTGCAGCTGACATTCTCGCCGAATTGGGGCAAACGGTCTGTGGACGGTGGAGCTGGTGGTGTTGGTGGTGGCAGTGGTGCCGGTGGCTTCTTTGAGTCGCAGCAGGGCAACTGCAAAACATCCAACGAGATGCTGCTGGAGATCTTTCGCTTTGTCCAATCGCAGGCACAACTCTTTCTCGACTGCAAGCACAGGGAGTAGGCGCAAGGATTCAATCGGATCACACTCGATGCCTGCAAGCCTGTTTACCCAATGATCATAATATTCAATGTTTTTATTGTATTTTGTATGTATGTACGAGTACACGAGGTAGTCGTAGTCGGCATTTAGATTTAGAGCACTTTCCGTTTTTCGTCACTTAATGTACTAATAACAATTATAGCCATGTGCCTAACTTTGAAAAGACAACATTTGAATAAATAAGCGCATCCGTAATAAGTTGTAATTTCCTCATGGGGAAGCTATACTTATAGGGCATCGATGATGTCCTTGCCAGGCTCGTAGCTCTTAAGTGAGCCACAAGAAAGAGTATTAGAATAAATGGCGCTTAACTTGGGATATATAGATATACCAATAATTAGACCTTGTTGAGTTTAAGCCGCTTTCCGGTCCGGGGTTCAATGGGTGCTTTACCTTTTTCAAGTTCAAGCCATATGTCATCATCGTTGTTTTTATTGTTATTGTCCGAAAATTAAATAAACAGATAATACAGATTGGTTGTAAAGGCAATTTGATTTAATTTGGAAAATTGCAACAATTAAACCATCATAAGCATTATAATCGCAGCGATATTTGTTTAAATTTCTGAACAGTCGCTACTCGAAAAGATCAGTGCAGCGTTGAAGTTCGCCTGGGGGGAACGTGCTGAAAACAAAAAAAGCAGAAAAAAATGATGAAAAATATGTGCAACTTTTACAATACGAAAACGAAACTTTGGATAAGCCAAATATGGATCTATACCCTTGTGCAACTCGTGAATTGTAAGTGTTAAGCGAGTTTGTTTTCAATTTAGTGCACAAAATGATATTCAAAGATTGTTATCGTGTGAAATGTGTTTAGTTTTAAGCGCTCGAAGTCCCAATCAAAACAAATAGATGGTTTCGTGCCACAACGAGATCTGTTCCCGGCGTACTAATATTTGTCATGTAAACACCAAAGTTAAAACACAATCGCTGGACACAATCGGATAGCAAGCGTCAGTGGCCCAGTTATTTTAATTATCGAAAATTAACAAAGCATGGCAAACAGTGGAGGAGTGTGGCAGTTGTTACCATATTGGAGCCAGTTGGAGCCATGCTTGATCAATGAGCATTTAGTCATCATGTCAAACACCCGCTTAACCGACCTAAAACTGCACATATACAGTGCAGCTAGCCTAAGTCGAACTAGCCTAATTCGCATCTTTTCATTTGCCTTAGCGTTGTTTGACTGTAACTTCAACCGTTCATTTTATTATATTTTCTAATTCTATATAATTGATTTTTGTATCGTTAATCGATTCCTGGAATTTGCAGACTTTTCTCATTTTTCTCCAACTTTATTTTTGTTGCCGCTTGATTTTTGCATTAGTGTTGTTTTACTGTACTGCAATATGCGATTTTTATCCTTTTTATAATTCTATAGCCTTGATTCTTGTATCGTTAATCAATTCCTGGAAGTTGCCTATTTTTTAAATCAATATTTTAATTGACAGCTTTTAGTTTGCTTTAGCGTTGTTTTACTGTATCTGCAATAGTCGACAATTTTTTATCGAAAATCTAAATAATTGAATAATTTGTGATATATTAAAAACATGGGGCACAGTTGGCTGCACTGCAACTAGAATGGTGAACAGTACTTTGGCAACGTTTGGGGTAGCTGCACACGGATCTGTCCAACATGCTGCTGGATGAGTTCTGTGTGAAGGTGTATTTCTGGCCATTTCTCTCGTATTTGGCCAGCATCAAAGGCTGGTGTCCCCTCTATCCGACAGGTTATTTTCCCGTCTATTATACATTACCAGCTCCGCTGCCCACGCCGCCACTAACGCCCATCTTGACGTCCACGTCCGCAGTGCCGCCAACGTATCAGCCAACGCCGCCAACCACACCATTTCCAACGCCACCGTTACCAACGATACCATTTCCAACTCCACCATTTCCCACGACTGTGACAACCACAACTGAAGTTATTGTTACCTTGCCGCCGCCCACTTTGCCGCCGCCCACTCTGCCGCCACCCACTTTGCCGCCGGCCACATGTCCACCATCGCCCTTTGTTTGCCTGCCGGGTGGAGTGCCCCCATTGCCCAATTGTCCCTGCATCGATCCCAGGCAGCAACAGCCACAGCAACAGAATCAGCCTCCATCCAGTTTACCCAATGGTTCGGATATGATGGTCTTCGTGCAGCTTAATCCCACAGGACGTCGTCGTCGCCGTCGGCGGCGCCATATCAAAATACCCATCTAAACCAAGCACAGCTCCCAATCAGAAATACCCAAGTCCATAGATTGTACTCGTAGTCAAAATGCGCAAATAAATTATCAAAAGCAAATATACAAAAAAATTACACTAAATTCGAATTGGCAAACTTTACACGTATCCAGCACCAGAACCTTCACCTAAATCCCTTAGAACCGCAATGCCTCTGCTCATAATTTCAGCCCAGCAGCAGAGCTGCCAGGATGCACGCTCACGTGCCGGCAGCTGTGTGCCGTTAACCTCCTGCTTACATCTCGTAGAGACTTTTCAGGCGGGCACAGTTTCCAACGAGCTTCAATTGTTTCTGGGCCAGTCCATATGCGGTTTTGATGGCTCCAGCTTTTTGGTAAGCTGCACTCCATTCCAGTACACTCAGCAAATAGAACAGATCCATTTCGACTTAATTCCCAGGTCTGCTGCTCCGCGGAGCCGGCGTCCATTGTGGCCAGACGACCCAAGGAGTATTTGCCAACTGGTGTCGGCTTCTCTTTCTCCTCGCTTGGTGCACCGACCACACAGAACCCTCCGCCTATTGTCGTCTTTCAGCCCACGCCACCCCACAATCAGGGTCAATTTGTGGTGCACACCACAACGCCACGTGTTGTGCCACCAACTTTCCCCAGCAACTTGCCCAGTTCAAGTGCCTGTGGCGTAGGTGGCGCCACCACAAATCGTGTCGTGGGCGGTATGCCTGTGAGGAAAGGTATGTAGAAGCATTCCAAAGAAATTTTAATTACTCTCAGCCATCTCTACAACAGGTGCGTATCCCTGGATGGCTGCCCTGGGCTACATTGATGATACCAATCCCAATGCCATCAAGTTCCTCTGCGCTGGCAGCTTGATTAGTTCAACGTTTGTTGTGACATCGGCGCACTGCATCAATCCAACACTGACACTGGTGCGTCTTGGTGCTCATGATCTGTCGCAGTTAAATGAAGCTGGCGCTGTGAATTTTCGCATCCGTCGCAGCATTGTTCACGACCAATATGATTTGTCCTCAATTGCAAATGATATTGGCATGATTGAGCTGAATGGCGAGGCGCCATCTGGTGGTGAGTAGTGAATACTATCACTTGGCTTGTAATCATTCGTTGTTTCCAATTTCAAAAGTGACTCGTAACAGAGTATTTAACAGTCGGTGTTTGACGACAACAATATATTGTTTTTTGGTTTTGTTTTTACACTTTCAGGTGATATACGTCCAATTTGCCTGCCGGATTCGAGCCGATTTCAGCGCGAAGATCAACTTGTTGGCATGAATCCGTTTGTGGCCGGTTTTGGTGCCACTCAGCATCAGGGAAGCACTTCAAATGTGCTGCGAGATGCTCAGGTGCCGATTGTCTCTCGGCAGAGCTGCGAGCAGAACTACAAGTCTGTCTTCCAGTTTGTGCAATTCAGCGACAAGGTGGACAAGACAAAACTGGCAAAACTTCATCATCATGTTAAGTAATTTGTGTGTTTCACTCCTTGCAGCTGATTTGCGCAGGCAGCTCCAGAGTCGATGCTTGTCAGGGGGATTCCGGTGGACCACTTATGCTGCCGCAGGTCAGTTATAATCGCATCTGATTCATCAGCTGAGTGTTGAACCAGTTTTCTGACTGTTTGTCCCAAGGTGGTTGAGCTTTGCAGCTAATTGCTGGGGAAGCCACAAAAATATTCACTAAAGATCAGTTGACAATAGTTTCTTTTCATTGTGTAAACAAATTAATTTACATGTTCGTTTTTGGAAACATATTTTAACAGCTCGTATCTTTATGGCAATGTTATTTCATATTTTTCAGTTGGATGGTAATATGTATCGTTACTACTTACTGGGTATCGTTTCATTTGGCTATGAATGCGCCAGACCCGGGTTTCCTGGTGTATATACGAGAACTAGCAGCTACTTGGACTGGATACAGCAGATACTACGCGGTTATTCTAGGGGCAGAAAACGTAGATCTATCTCACAGAATCTTGGACTTAGAAATTAAACGTTTGTCCAAAATATATAATTCAAAAGTAAATAAATAAGTTGTTTATTATAGAAAAAATTATAAATGCGATCAACATCAAATCATCAAAATCAGTAAGCCATTAATATTGCTATATAACATTTAATAAATATAGGGAAGCTCGCATTTGAATTACAAAACACCATTTTTACACATGCGACTGAAAATAATCCCGGGATATTCCGATAAAAAAAAACTCGAATTCATATGTTGTGCAATGATCCCTTAATGTCGCATGTCGCGTATAATTAGTTATTACTATTATATTTTGTTCACGCCTATCACTACCCCGAGAATGATTTCATAATGGTCAATTCATAAATTAATCTCGATCAGCACTTACAGGTTTACAACTACTGCTGAGAAACTATATTCAAATGATAGCTGTCTTATTGTATTAAAAATAAAATAAATACAATGCCACACGGATACTAAACCCGGAACTCTTTGGCTGGAGAAATAACCTGGGAAATTATTTGGACGACATTCTCTGAAAATTGCAATGCCAATGACTTCATCATCGCCCCAACGCCCATTGGGGACTCAAGGAATAAGCATCGATTGCATTGCATGCATGTTAATTGACTTTTGCTTGTGGGTCTACTAATCGAAATTCCAATCAGATTCAACGACGATGTCATCGATGAGAACTAAACATGTAAATCGCAAAACAACCCAATCTCTCCAATCAGTATGAACTTTTTCTAGTACAAGAAATGCATACGTAACTCTCAGTTGCAATCTTGCATAATCAACAGTAGGCAAAGGCTGCCCAATAAACAACTTGTTAAGTGATTCAAACACGATTTGATTGCTGCCAATTAAGTTGTCTCCCATCGCGGTATGAACTTCATTAGTTGTTTTAAATGTGATAAATGAAATCTACTATTTATACAATTTGCTTAGCTTTATGTGTTTGCTTGCTTGTTCCTCTTCTGTTTCTTGTTAAGTTTACCTATTCGATCCAAGTGAGTCATCACATGTCAATTCTCGAAATTCCACAATGACAAACAATTTGGCGCCATGAGACATTTACGCATCCGCTTCATAGCCTACATACGTAAGCAATGTTTATAAGTGCATTTTTCTACCCTCACTGAGTATATTATTTAATTATACACTTTGATGACAATTGAAAATGCACTTGAAGGATATAATTCATTTCTGAAAATGTTACGGAGACAAAACATAAATTACTTGTGTTTGTGTATATTTCAAGGGAAGCAGTCAGCACATAAACTGACTACTAAAAGGCGTCGCAAATATCACTTGTAACCAGTTGGACTTACGGAGAGGGAGGTCCTTCATTGCGCACAGTAAGTGCGATGGAGGTAAATGAACGAGTAGACTTGTATTTACTAAGACTCTAAAAGACACAGACTTTATTGGACAGAATTTTCAGACGATAATGTTTGCTTAGGACTAGTTATGCTATTTGCGGGTTGACCTAAACAATCAATAGTTATCTATGCGTGTACAGATACCATGTCTTAAATTATCTTATTTACGATGCTGCCTGTGCTACTATCTGCTAATTGCAGGATTGAAGGCCGCTCGACAGATGGTGTGAACATATTTCTAATCTCAACCCATGGGTTGGGTATACTTTATTTGCTGTGTATCTGCTCTATCTGCAGCGTACAACTGGCTTATGATTTATATGAATCTGAACAACTTGTATCATTATATTTTATTGGAATAACATTCAATAAGCAAGTGGAAAAATTAAATTATATGGAAGATTTTAGAGAATCCCAATTTGGTATGTAAATTACATTTTACCAAACGAAAATGATGTAAATTTAAATTGAGTTGCTCAATAACAAATATGGATTTTTAACAATTTCTTCGGATTTTTAGTATGTTAGCTATTTTGTGTAGCAATCTCTGTTGCCTATCAAATATTTATTGAAAATTTGACACCTTAGGATCAATATTCATTTGATCTCAGATTAACAAATATTAATACTTATTGTCTTAAATGTTATAGTTGCTCTTAAAGCTGCTAGGGTATGTGATATTCGTTATTTGAAATGTATCTTTTTGGTTTTGCATTAAGTGTGAACTAATTTTGCAAAACTTGTTCTATAATTAAAACATATCGGGAATAATTGTTGCCCGGTGAATGTTATTATACCTAATATAATCGAGCCTATTTATTATTATTTACATTTTAAGCGAGATTTGTCATCATATAGCTTGGATTGTTGTTTGTTGATGGGAAAAATGCATAAAATAGCAAATGCATTGCAATTTGGTGATTTTTTGAGATTTAATTGATGTATAATGTCTATAAAGTGAGTCTAGTATAAATGATCAACGTTCTCTCTCAGAGAACACAACTTGTAAGCCGGACTCTCACCCTTGTCGTTTGTATATAAAGCTCGACACTGGTTCTGCCTCTGGCGATCGTTTGAGTAGACGTACGCAAAGCGTTTGTCGCAATCCGAAAGTTGACCAAGACGCTTGACCGGGCTCAAAGGCGCTCTCAGTCTGATAACGTGCGTCGCACTGTGAACATCGCGAGTGCGCAGTAAAATCTTCTTCAACGACGAGTTGATTTAGAGTACAACATATAATTATACAAGTACTTGGCATTTTTTTGTTTGACAAAAATGAAGCTGGTGATTAGTGTTGTGCTAACGATCGCCTGCTTGGCCACGCCCATGCCTGCCCAGTTCAACCGCAGACAAGGTACATACAAATACGAATGTGTGAAGAGAACTTTTCGCTTTTTGCATTTTCTCCGCTTGATAGAAATTTTAACGACTAACCCGTCGAGCTAGTTAAAGCACAGCACAAACTAAATAAACAAGTTGATTTTGATTACGAAGCGAGCGATTAGAAACCAGTTCCATTTACAATCAACGCATCTTAGCAGATATTATTTGAATATTTTCGCAGTGATTTCAATTAAAATTACAATTTGAAATTTCGACAAGTTTGTTGCCTAAGTCTTTTGTTTCCAATTAATTCCCACAATATTAAAACAACAAATTTGAAACTCGTCTGGATTTGGCCAAAGTGACTGTGATACAAACAACAAAATGTAAAGAAATTAAAAATTGTTGGCGTTGCGTTTCAAGTTCAATCCGTAAAACCAGTCAGTGTCACTGTTATTGCAAGCTCCAACCAAGGTCAAGTGACCCAAGCTGTCGCAGTATGCCGGAGACGTTTCCTTACTGAGTTTTCGGGTTTTTTTTTAAGGGGTTATTTATGCATAGATTGTTGAGTATTACAAGCACGTTCCACTGGTTAATGACTGCAATTTGGCAAAAGACAGAGAAGAGGCGGTTAACGAGACGTAGACAAAACTTGAAATACTCTTAGCCAAGACTAGATATAACAAAATAACATTTGCAGAAAAAGCAACTTGTATTTAGAGTCTTAAATAAACAAACAAAAATACTAACGAAAACTAAACATATTTCAATAATGCGTTTCCCCGTTTAGTTCGCCAGGACTGCATCACGCCAGAGAATTACTATGGCAGCTGTGTGGGACTCAGCTACTGTCCACAAGCGTCCAATGTCTTCCAGTTGACCGATAGGCGAACTGCTCAGAATTATGTGATTGCCCTGCAGCGCAGCTGTGGCACCCGCAACATTAACGGGGATCCAGTGGTATGGGATTAGCTATTTATTCGCTTGCTTCAAACACTCTTTCATTATCTATCTATTATGGACTTATGTAGGTGTGCTGTACTCGACCCATTACTAATCAGAATCCGGTTACAGTGCGACCAACGCAACCGGTTACAGAGCGGCCACCGAATCCTTTCTTTCCCACGCAGTCGACATTTGTGACTCCGCAGGTGCAGCCATTTACAACACAGGCACCCACTGGCAATCCCTGGATACAGTATACCACTCAAAGACCAACTATAAGAACCACTACTGCACCAGTTACCTCAAATTCGATCGTAGAGCGTGGTCCCAGCTGCCGCTTTCCACCCGGAAGGCTTGGTGAATGTGTTGGTAAGTTTTAACTAAATTACCTTTTGTAAGTACTCCTAAACTTCCTTGATTCCTCCGCAGATATCAAGAGCTGTCCATCCGTTTTCAACGAGCTGAAAGTGAGGCAAACTGATGCCGCATTTGCAAAAGAATTGCAGGCCTCCAATTTGGTCTGTGGTCGAGTTGGCAGTAATGTCTGCTGTCCCACTGGCCAAACGGTCACCACTTCGCAGCCAGTAACAGCCGCAAACTTGGAGGAGGTACCACGTCGTTTGCCCACCGTGGAAGAGGGTTGCGGCTCCACCCCTAAAGCGACCTTTAAAAAGGTCGTTGGCGGCGAACCGGCAAAACAGGGTGCCTGGCCCTGGATTGCACTCCTTGGCTATGACGATGGCTCCTCGTCACCATTCAAGTGTGGCGGCACTTTGATAACCGCCAGGCATATTATCACCGCCGCTCATTGCATCAGAGATGATCTGTAAGCATTTTTAGTTACTTGATCTTGGCCAAAATAATATCAAACTTCTTTGATTATTCACTTTAGAACGTTTGTGCGACTGGGCGAGCACGATTTAACGACAGATGCGGAGGCACGCCATGTTGACATACCTATCGCAAAGGTAAATAATTTTAGAATACAGAGAACATTACTTTAATTTATAGTTAGCCTAACTTTTAAATAACGCTGGCTGGGGAATACAGTATTTCTGGAAAATACCAGGGATTTTCGATTGCTATTCTTTCACTATATCGCAATATATATTTTGTCTACTTACAGAAAGTACGTTATCCACAGTACACTCCACGGAATGGTCGCGGTGATATCGCAATGCTGTATTTGGACCGAAATGTACAGTTTACGGATACGATTATACCCATTTGTATGCCCAGTAGTTCGACCCTGCGTACTAAATCTTATGTGTCCACAAATCCCTTCGTTGCCGGCTGGGGCAAGACTCAGGAGAATGGTAAATCCTCCAGTGTGCTGATGCAACTGATGATACCCGTGCTGACCAATGAGGTCTGTCGCACTCAGTATGCGAAGGTGAATCGTTATTTCAATGAAGAACAGTTCGATAAAGCTGTACTCTGTGCGGGAGTACTCTCTGGAGGCAAGGATACGTGCCAAGGTGACTCGGGTGGTCCTCTCATGTCATCTGAGGTGTTCAACAATCAAATTCGCTTCTATCTGATCGGTGTCGTTTCCTACGGTGTGGGTTGTGCCAGGGCCGAGATCCCCGGTGTCTATGCGAGCACCCAATACTTTATGGACTGGATACTTGAAATGCTTCTGGATACGCCTTGACTTGGTTTTAGTTTGAGGAACACCTAGTTCACAGTCTGCAGTCTGCAGTCTGCATTCTTTATTTTGACATTTTACATCTAACTCTATTCGTATATGCTTAAAGTAAATAAAATAAACTCACAAGCGATCCAAGTGTAACCTTAAATTCCTACACATTGACTGTGATATCCTTTTGTGCTCATGACCTCAACGTTTGTCTAATCCTTGTGCGGACTTATGCAACTAGAAAAGAGAGGGAGAGAACACATAATCATGCTTCCAACGATCGCAGCGATGGCAACCCAAAGCACTAATCTGGTTTAAAGGCAGGGGGTAGGTTATATATGCTAAAGGGTTGCCTGCTTTTGGTTGTGAGTTGCATTCTTATTTCGGAGAAGCTCACAATGGATTTGAATGCCAACCCAACTCATGTTGTATAATTTTGGCTCCACCTCAAAGGATCAGAGAAACTCCTACCCCATTTGGCACGCTTCGTCTCCTTTTCTGTGCTGTAATCAGTTCAAATGCCAGACGAATCCTTATTTGTAGAGTCAACAGACGCCTTCTGTTGTGTTCGCCCGCGCATTTGTGGCCACAAAAGATGCCACAAGATGGGAGTTTCCATGCACTCTTTGTGATTCAAATCGGAGGAACTGTGGCACCAAGCAGCTGTCAGGACTCTGAGGCTGCATTAGACTGCAGTTTACTTCAGCTGAATTATACAATTAAGTCAGTATCATAACATTCAATCAATATCTGTTGTGCAGATCCATTATCAACAATGCCCTGATCAAATTTGCATATGAAATTCGCCCCTTAAAAATGTATGTACATGCGAAAGTGGATTTGTGAATACTCTGGGACACAGACAATGGTGTTAATTTCATCATTAGCTGTGATATCTTTATTGACAGCTCTTTGCAAAAAAGGGGTTGCAAAAAAAGACACCAACAGTCAAGAGGTACACAAAGGAAAACCCACAATCGCAAATATAAACACAATTGTCTGGAACAGAAAAAGAGATCACTGTAACTTAAGAATTTGTGTTGATTTGCCGAGGGTAAATCTTAGCTAATCAATTGATCAGATGTGAACAGACCTTCAGAGTGGATCACCGGAAATGTATCTAAAAATATAGCTTGCATTGTTTTCTGTTAAATTTGGTGCTTTTTATCTTTATTTAATTGATATACATAGTTGTGCGTCACAATAAGCGATTAATGCTTTCTATGAGAACACAACTTGACAGCAGCCGAGTTCTCGCCGTTGTCGTATTTATATAAAGATCGGCACTCTCGATGTCTCTGGCGTTCGCCTGTGTAGACGTACGCAAAGCGTTTTCCCGGAATCCCAAATTTGATAAAGACGCTTGACCGTTCTCAAATTCCGCTCAGTCTGATAACGTATGTCGCACTGTGAACATCGTGAGTGACCGCATTAATTATAACTACTACACATTATCTGATTGTCAACAATGAAGCTGGTGTTTAGTGTTGTTTTATTGATCGCCTCTTGGGCCACGCCCACGCCCGGTCAGCTCAATTCCAGACAAGGTATGCATATAAAATCTGCAAAACTGAATTAAAAGCGTTTTTTTTGCGCATATAATTTAAAATTTAATTTTAGACCTTATATATAAATCTATATATAGATGACGCATTCGACTTTTTTGTTCGCACAATTAAATAAATATATGTGCTTACTACATTTTTTACATTTTTTTTCATACTTACAACATCGTTGGTAGATTTACAAGGTGCCAGGTGCCAATGCGTGGGTGAGTCATAGTTTCATTATCTTTTGGAAGGTCTTAAAAAATCCCTCGTTTTTGATAGATATCAGAAGTTGTCCATCCCTTTTCAACGAACTGAAAGTGAGGCAAACTGATCCCGAATTTGCAAAAGAATTACGGGCCTCCAATTTGATCTGTGGTCGCGTTGGGAGTAATGTCTGCTGTCCCACTGGCCAATCGCAGCCAGTAACGGCCGCAAACTTGGGTGATGTACCACGTCGTCTGCCCACCGTGGAAGAGGGTTGCGGCTCCACCACTAAAGCGTCCTTTCAAAAGGTCGTTGGCGGCGAACCGGCGAAACAGGGTGCCTGGCCCTGGATTGCACTCCTTGGCTATGACGATGGCTCCTCGTCAATATTCAAGTGCGGCGGCACTTTGATTACCGCCAGGCATGTCGTTACCGCCGCCCATTGCGTTAGAGAAGATCTGTAATTATGCCTCGTTACTTGATCTTAACCAAAATGATAACAAATGTGTTTGATTATCTTTGTAGAATGTTTGTGCGACTGGGCGAGCATGATTTAAGGACGGATTCGGAGGCACAGCATGTTGACATACCTATCGCAAAGGTAAATAATTTTAGAATACAGAGAACATTACTATAATTTATAGTTAGCCTAACTTTTATATAACGCTGCCTGGGGAATAGAGTATTTCTGGGAAACACCAGGGATTTTCGATTGCTATTCTTTCACTATATCGCAATATATATTTTGTCTACTTACAGAAAGTGCGTTATCCACAGTACACTCCACGGAATGGTCGCGGTGATATCGCAATGCTGTATTTGGAACGAAATGTTCAGTTTACGGACACAATTAAACCCATTTGTATGCCCAGTAGTCCGACTCTGCGCACCAAGTCCTATGTGTCATGGAGTCCTTTCGTTGCCGGCTGGGGCAAGACTCAGGAGACTGGTGAATCATCTAACGTGCTGATGCAGCTGATGATACCCGTGCTGAGGAACGAAGTCTGTCGCACTCAGTATGCGAAGGTGAATCGTTATTTCAATGAAGAACAGTTCGATAATGCTGTACTCTGTGCGGGAGTTCTAACTGCCGGCCAGGACACGTGTCAGGGTGACTCGGGTGGTCCTCTCATAGTATCCGAAACAGTCAACCATCAAATACGCTTCTATCTGATCGGTGTGGTGTCCTATGGGGTTGGTTGTGCTCGGGCCGAAATCCCTAGCGTATTTTCGAGCACTCAATACTTTATGGACTGGATACTTGAAATGCTACTGGATACGCCTTAACTTGATTTTGGTTTCATTTAACATCTAGTTCACAGTCTGCAGTCTGCATTCTTTATTTTGCTTTTTTACATCTAACTTTATTTGTATGTGTTTAAAGTAAATAAAATAAACTCACAAGCGATCCAAGTGTAAACTTAAATTCCAACACATTGACTGTGAGATCCTTTTGTGCTCATGACCTCAGCCGTTTGTCTAATCCTTGAGATGCATGCCTGGACAGAGAGAGAGAGAGAGAAAGAGAGAACACATCAATAATGCTTCTAATGATCGCAGTTGAGACACCCCTATGCACTGATCCCTAGAGGTGGGGGTTAAAGGGTTTTCTCTTTCTATGTATGTATATACATAATTTCGAAGAAGCTCACAATGGGTTTGGAATACAGACAGAGAGCTATGACTACCTCATCTCATCATATCATTTTGGCGCCATCTCAAAGGATCAGGGAACCCCTTTATCCCATTTGGCACGCTTCGTCTCCACTTCTGTGCTGTAATCAGTTCAAATGCCAGACGAATCGTTTCTGGGCAATAAACATTTTCTGTGGCCACAAAATATGTAGGAGTCTTCTTGAAACAGGACACAGGCTGAAATCCAAAGATCATTAGACTGCATTTACTCTTGCTCTGTCACTCTGAATTGTACAATTAAGTCAGTATCACAATATCGAGCGTAATTCAATCAGCATCTTTTGTGCCGATCGTTTATCAATAATCCCTGATAAAATTTGCATACGAAATTCACCAACTCAAGGCGTAACATCATCATTAGTATCATTATATTTTTATTGATAGCTTATTGCAAAAAAAGAGGGTTGCAAAAAAAAAGTCATCAACAGTCAAGAGGCGTATAAGGAAAACCTACATTCGTAAAGATAAACGCGATTGCTAAGAACATAAAAGGGGATTGTATTGCATTGTAGGCCAAGATATTTTGATTGATTTACTGAGGGTAATTCTAGTTTAATCAGTTGCACAGAAATTAACAGATCTTTGCTAATATATTTACCTGCGGAACAGCTCTAAAAAAGGATACCTTTACTTAGGACAGTCTCTCTCGCCGGATCGCGAAGCACATATAGTGCAATACCAGCGAAAAACAGGTTTAGGATTTCCCATTTTTGTGGGTGTGAACGATGGCTTACACCATCTGGTATCTCGATTCTGAAGCTATTTGGGGTTTAAATGGGATTACCGGTAAAATAGCTGGAATTGTTGTGTGTGGCAATTGGGTTTTTTTGCAGATTTAATTGATTTACATGGCTATGAGTCACCATAATCGACTGGCGTTGGCTTGCCACAGATCACGCACTTGTCACATGCATATAAATGTTGAGAGAGATTCAAAACTGAGCCGGGCTCTAAGGCGCGCTCAGTCTAATAACATACGTCCCACCGTGAACATCGAGAGTGCGCAACAAAACGTCGAGCAACGGGTTGATTTCAAGTACTAATTATAAGCACACGAGTACTAGGAATTACTTGTTTATCAAAAATGATGCAGGTGCTTAATGCTGTTTTAATTATCGCCTGTTTGACACAGCACACGCACGGTAAGCTGAACCGCAGAAAAGGTACGTATAAAAACTCGACAAACTTAAATGCTTTTTGCTAATAAAATTTCAAATAAATATAATTAAATCACAATTACAAATTTAAAATAAATTATTTTTGTTCAACACTGAATAAGAAAGGAATCACTTTTCAATTTTTTCATTGATAGAATGTTTGTAAGCATTTCTACTCACATATAGACAGATGGACAGACAGTCGACTACCTTCGACATAAGAGTATAATTACAGGTTTAAATTTCTTCAAGTTTTTTGTTTCATATAAATTCCAGTTTTTAATTAAAAAGCTGCTGTGATATAAATAATGCAATTTATATACATTTAAAGTTATTGGCGTCACGCATCAGGTTTCAGGTCATCTAACATATCTTCTGATATTCTTTATTAAGTGGGAATTTTTATTTTGACTTAATATAACAATAATTTAACATTTTTAGCTACATTGGTAGAGCCCCGTGCTCCCAGCTGCCAGTTTCCTGTGGGAAAGATTGGTGAATGCGTGGGTAAGTTATAGCTTATCTTTTGGGAATTC